CCTACTATGTTGAAACGAACCCGTTTTGACGAGTTATTCATTTCTAGGTTTACTTCTTCATGAGTAGTAAACCTGTATTTTTTAATTCCAGCTGGGGCTTGGGTCGCTTACGGTTAGAGGCGAAATATCACGAAATTGCTCTCAGGAAGAAACGAATATCCAACTCGAGGGAGCGACGGAAATTAAATCTGACTCTAACCGACGAAAAAACTCATTGTCGACAACATTTAAGTACAATTTCGTCTACATTTCGCAAGTAACTGGCCGCTATACATGAATATTCAACACGAAAATTTCTCCCCGATGACATGCGCAGTAAGATTCACAGCATAGTAACAGAGAAAGTCTAGCTTTACGCGCTGCATCGTGCTCTTGGCGATTAGGCTGTCTAACAATCCAGTTACTATGGGTTCTGGTGTATCAAAGGAATCAAGAAATCTTAATGTAGTGCCTCAACAACCTCAAATGGACACGGCTGTGAACAGACCGCCAATATCTGATTTGAAGCCCAAAGTTGTTCAACACCGGCCCGTACAGGATCGCGGCTATACGTCAAGTGTAAACAAGGAGCACACGAACGAAGAACAAAGTGAGAGGATTTCACTGGATGAGTGGCAAGTCTTACTTACAAGAACGTATAAGAAATACACGCACAGCTTCCCAGAGCTACAAGATGACCTTCAAACGATGTTAACCTCTCTACAAGGTTTGAGAAAAGCCGTAGACGACAAATCCAAGGGACATATAATTCAATATTCTAAGCTGGGAGGAACAATTGTAGAGTTGGCTGAAAAAAGCTGCAGCACATATACATCAGCAGGGACGAACGACTCAGAAAAATTCAGTACACTTATGGAGTTTATAATTGAAGTCGAAGGAGCAACAGTGCTGCATAGCTTCGTGAAAAACTGTTTCAAAGATTACTATACTGATGGAACAGACGACGAATTGGGAACAAGTGACCAAGAGGAGACTTTCACTTGCTTTTACAGCCTTTTATTCTCACTGTCAATAATACAAAACTTTACTGATTTCCACGATGGTTTTGCTTGGCGAGCGCTCAAGATGGAGTTGTACTAACTTGCATGGAGAATATCAAGAGGATCGATCAAGAAAATGATGACTGGCAGAGCGAAGATGAAGAGTCTGAAACATTTCGTTTACTAAAAATGTGCATCGGCATTTTGCACAACATTTCTCGCCGACTGAGAGATCGCCAATGGTTTGCTAACAGTGACGAGACTTTACTTTATTTTGCAAAGGTTAAAGTGGCAAGTATTGCTGCCTCGGCCTTGTTGTGCCTGGCGTACCTTGTTAATGAAGAAACTAATCATCTAATCTCCGCCGAAAAAGACTTGCTTCGCTTCATTATAGCTATGTTAGACGAAGCTTGGAAGGCAGAAGACCGCCGAAGTAACGGATTCTCCGCTAAGGAACTTGCAGAAGGACTCAGTCATTTGGCTGTTAACGACAACAATAAGCAAATTCTTGGATGCGAAGGGGCAATAAGAGTTTTAACGTCAACACTAAAGACCTCAAGCGACGACGAGGAACGAGCGAGTGCGGTCAAAGCATTGTGGATGCTGGCTTTCGAAGACTCTAACAAGGATATCATTCGAGAGGGAGACGGAACCGTGGACATCTTACGCACATTACACCACAGTCAAAACGCTGAAGTGCAAAAGGTAGCCGCTGGAGCATTGTGGGAGATTGAAGGAAAGACAGCAAGAGACAAAGCGAACAAGACAAAAGAGGGGTCTGGAAACCATGTGATGATTAGCTACCAATGGGATGCTCAGGATGTCTTGGTTCAAGTCAAAAATCAACTTCAGGGTAATGGATACAGAGTTTGGATGGACCTGGAGCAAATGGGTGGGTCCACACTGGACGCAATGGCCAAAGCTGTCGAGAACGCTGCTGTTGTGTTGATCTGCGTGTCACAACGATACAAAGAGAGTCCCAATTGTCGTTCAGAGGCCGAGTACGCCTACCAGTTAAGAAAAGACATCATTCCTTTGATGATGCAGAAAAATTACAAAGCGGATGGCTGGCTAGGAATGCTGTTGGGAACGAAACTGTGGATTGGCTTTCTGAGTAAGCATACCATTGATTCTGGTGTGGCAAAACTGGTCAGAGAATTAGCGGGAAGAGGAAAAGATGTGGATCACACAGACGGCTCCCCAGAGGCGGTGATTCGAACAACCGAGGCCACGACTCTAACAAAACAGCCCTCTGGTCCAGATGTAGCCGGATGGACAAATAAGGAAGTGAAAAAATGGCTGAAGAAAATTGGATTGGCACAGGTGCGTGACAAAGACATGGCTGAATTCACAGGACAAACATTGATTGAACTTCAAGAGCTCCGAGGAGAATGCCCAGATTATTTTTACAAGTGTCTTGAACACACACTTCAGCTTAAGAACATGTTTCATGTACTCAAGTTTAGAAAGGAGTTGGACAAACTGCTGGGAAATTAAATGCGATTGGCTGAACACGCAATTCTTCTCGTTCGCCCAGTTATGGAACAGTTGCGTGTTGGGTGTCGCACAATTCTTTACATTGAAGAGCAGAACTCGTGTATGACCATGTAGTTCTGGACTGTAAAGAAGACTCGCTCACCAAACGGACACGCTTTCACACGAATAAATTTAGACAAAATGACCCAGTGTACCCCGAGAATAGACTCTTGTTTTTATTTACAATTTGTTTTCAGTCAGTTCGCTAAGGACGTAAATTCAAGTGGAATAAGTCGGTGGTTGAAAAACGCGTCGCAACAACCAAATTCAATGTTGACGCTATAGTAACAATATTCGATGGGCAACTTAAGATACTAGAATAAAACCCTCCAAGGTTTAAAAAACCTACGAAGGTTCTAAGTCACCATAAATTATCGATCAGTCGAACTAGCATTGAACATACTCCAAGGTTTTCTTTAAGATCTAGTGCAAAGATGAATCATATTGAAAAAGATGAAGTCACCGCTTTCGTCATTGAAATACACGCACACTGTTAAGAGTGTTAAAAAAAATCGCAATATCACAGCGATGAAATCTCATTTAGACAATGGCTCAGTGCATCCACGCTTCCCTCTACTGGATCGCAGGCACAGCAAAAGACACATCACTATAGACTGTGTCTTAATAATGTAAAGACAGTCTCAATAATGTAAAGATGGAACTACTTTAAAGTTGTGGTACGCAGCAATGATCACGAGAAAGGCACCAGTTATCATAAATCACTTTTGATAAACACAAACCTTGTTCAACTTGAATACGTTCTCTGAACTCTTCAGAATCAGTTTGTTCCTTGACCATCTCTGCTATGGTCGTATCTAAAAACAAGGATGCATATCTCCCTTAATCTCTTTTGATTTACCTTGAATCTGAAGTTTTTGCATTTGCATACTACCAGCTTGTCTAGTCTGGAGGACCAACGATCCTAAAATTGGAGCTTTATGAATTCATTTACAACACATGAAAACCAGCGAAAAAGCCTAAAATTGGATCTTGAAAGCTTTGAAATGCATATACACATGAAAACCAACAGTTGCAGTCAAACTATTTGATGTGACCCAAGAGGGAGGAAGATAAAAAAACTCACTGTCCACTCCCGTGGTCACCCTAGTTATCGTTTTGCAACAATGTACATTTCAGTGGAGGGCAACAGCATGACGTGAAATCAATTACAGTCAAAGATGACAATAATGTGAGAAACTTCAGAATGGTCAGGTTAGAGTAATTATTTCATTCAGTTTGAGGTTATTTGCGAGACTATTCCAGGTTTGTACATAAGATCTTTCCACAGTTGTCATCATTTCTGGGGATTCTGTATGATGTACAGAAACATCTTTTAAGTGTATTGAGATTGTCTACCTAAGTAAGCAGGATCTGGCTTTTCTTCCTACTTAGGAATACCCACTTTGTTCTTACAAAAGCAAAATTCCTCTGTGGCCATATATTACATTTTCAAATTGACCTTGCTTGTTTCAAAAAGATGGTTTTAGTTCCTTTTTTCATCTATATTAATTTGGTTAAAAAAAATCAAAGATGATATCAAGCCATACTGTCAAAGAAAGGGTTAGTATATTGATTAGTTAATTATTTGAATAACATTAAAGTGATGATTCCAAAGCACTCAAAAGTATGTAAAGTCCTCGGAAAAGTGCTACAGTATAAATTCTAATGATTAACCTTAAATCAGATCAGACTCATGTCTTACAAGTTACACAGTTACAGAAAAGAATGAACATTTTAAACTCCAGGACCTAGTTGTTCAGAGAGCAGATAATGCTATCTAATGGACAAATCTCTATGAAATAGGCATGTGTTAACAAAACATACTGCACTTTCCACCATATCAAGTGTTATTCAGTGGATATAACATTATCTGCCCTCAAACCACTGGGTCCAGTACAATACACTTCTTCACTCACGAGTTGCAAGAGAAGCTTTTGCTCTTTGCATAAATGGAATCCTCTGAACATACTGTTTCATTTCACCCACTGTTTTGGCACTTTTGTGCTCCTGGTGATGCAAAATGTAAGATAAAAAAGAATCTTCAGTAAAACTCAGAATAGGAGTCACACAAGACATCAAAAGAGCTTACTACTTTTTCAGGGTTAGTACTCTTTTAGGAGGTGTTTTATTGTTTGTCTCTTGATATAGTGTCAGGCTATTGATATAAATTGATCAGGCAATCAGACAAACAATAAATCATCTATTAAGTTATTCAACACAATGAATAATAACATATTCTTTAGCAGAGTACTCTTTTACTTTCAACCTCATAAAATTCCATAACTTTCCATGATCTCTTGGGTCCAACACTTGTTTGAATTTTTGTGTGAGGAGATTACTATCACTCAAAGGAGGCATTCTTTGCACTGTCATTTTCAGCAAAGAAATTTTCAGTCATTTCCCTTGACTTCCATAACTACCAATGATATAAATCTACCTCCAGAGATGAGTTTTGATTTTACGGTCACAGTAGGATGGAAATGATGTGAATTACCCCTCATATCAGCAAACCCATCATAATAAACAAAAGAAGTTAGGTACTAGGTAAAGTCTGTACTCAAGCAAAATGACTCATGCAGCCAGAGTTTATCTCAGTTTCCATTGCATGAAGTGATTAGGAGAATTTCTACTTCCTATGGATGGGATACCAGTCCATCACAAGGTTACCCCATATCACTTCATAACTCTCCCCTGATAATTTGCTGGTTCCCATTTTTACTTCTGAGTGGAAAGAGGCACAATCCTCATGACCCAGACTCCAGTGCACTTACCATTACCCTACAGCTTCTTCCAAATTTATAAATAAACAAACTGTCTCTAAAATCTGTCAGGTCAGAACACTAACAATAACTAGTTCCCTTCTTTTTTTTTAACCAATACCTTGGCATTTATCAAACAGATCAGAGGAAGGTAAAAGAAACTTTGAGAAATCATCAAAGATATGTTTTTGGCCATGAACTGACCTCAAAGGCAGCACTAATCTGCTTGGCTTTCCTGCTCAAGTGAATTCCCACAGCAGAGAAATTTAGATCTCGAATATCATAGAACAACTCATCACTGGAGTTTAAAACAACTTTCTTAGGTCCAGTGGGTTGTTGTTGTTGAAGTCCTCCAGGTCCTTTCTCTTCAGTTTGAGGGAATCTCTCAGGTGGAAACTTTGCTGTGGCTTCAAAGAGAAAATACAATTTGTCTGTGATTAACTATAGCGATTAAAGGGGGTAAGTTTCTAAAGAAACTGTGGTGCTGCGTCGGCGGGAGAGTATAGCAGGTAATTTATTGTTAACAACTGAGTTGAAAACGTAAATTGGTCACCATAAAGAGTAAAAAACCATGACCAATTTACGTTTTCAACTCAGTTGTTAACACTAAACAATTGCTAGGTAACATAGTACTGTAATAACAGAATCATAAAATAAAATCTATAATTATTCTAGTACTCAATATACAGATATAATTGCCCTTGCATCTGTAATACTTCATCAGCAGTTACTTCAGTTCATCAGGATGATTGTTTGGTTCCTTAACATCTGCTTGCAAATCTAACAGCAGATTTTCCACTTTATCAGGAGTGATGGAGACAAAAGTGGAATCAAGCAATCAGATTATTCAGACTCCAATTCCATCCAGCCCTAGACTCAATTTTCAACTTAGACTTTGGATTCAATAAGCTACAAGTACATTTTTAGTTGCAACTCCAGCTATAACTCATACTTCAACTTTGTCTCCAAAGAAAATGAGCCTCAACTTTATTTCTTTAAGTAATCATTGAGCAGTCGTAACCTTTAACTCAATGGTACCTACTGTGGTGTATTCCATATAGTTCATCTATCAGTCCTTCATAGGTAAGTTGAGTAAATAATGGAGTGAGTAAGTCAATGTTACGATCAATTAACAGAAGTGTGTCGATTTGGGGTGAGACTTGGTTTTCTGCATCAGCTGCCTCTCGTTTCTTGCGCATCATCATGTCTAAGACTAGCTGTTTACAATAATTAATTGTAACAATTTAATAAGAAAAAGTCAATGAGAAAAATAATGCATACTACCATTGACTAACAAGTTTAAATGCACATTTTACCTTCGATGACATTAAATGAAACAAAACTATACTCATTTCACTTAACTAACAAAAATAATTGCATTTTAAAATAAAATGGATTGTAAAATAACCCTACAACAAAATTTCACTCTGAGGAACAGAAACATTTTTATGACTAAAAACTATGACTATTTATTTTAATAACTGTAGCACTAAATTTTGTAGTTACCCTACTTTGTTTCCTGAAATTTTTTTGAAGTTTTTGAAGTTTGGCCAGTAACACTGAACTTCTAAGTACAATTTCACTAAATTTGAAGTCTTTTTAAAAATACAAGCTGAACCAAAACAGCACTGAAAAAATTTAATCTTTGGAAAATGAACCATTATTGAGGCTTTACATCAAAAATAGTTCTATATGTGATACAAAGATACCTTGAGGAATAAGTATTTACTGTCTTACAATTTTACCAGTACATTATTTGATCAATGTAAGAAATGCACCTCTAATTTTCTTTTGACAGATTTTTCAAAACACTTATCTTTATCTATTTATATTTACCATGATCAATAAATCAGTATGGCTCTCACCTTTGACATATCTCCCTTTGCATAAATCTTGGGGATTGTGCCATACAATGTTTGAAGTGTCATCAAGGAATTGGCAACATAAAATAATGATGTGAAGTCATTTTCCAGGTAACACTCCTGCAAAACAAATTGAAAAAATTTACAAATAGAGAGATATTTGATTGCACCTTCTCCAAACTAACAAACTTCATTACTTGCAATCTTTGCAAATAGCTATAGATTGGCAAAGCAAGAAGATTATTTTGGTGCTTGCTTTCACAAACACTTGTGGGATGTTTGAAAATACTACAACAAAAATGGATCTGAGCCCATTTTTAAAAAATTACAAAACTCAAATTAAGGGGGGTAACTGACCAACTTTCAGTAATTTATTTAGTAATAGAATGATTAAATTTCTACAGTTTACCTTGAAGCTGGACTCCATCTCAAGTGACAAGACATCACTGTCCAATGGTATAAGCTCTAGAGGATATTCATCGATGTTGATAAAAGATACCTTCCGTTCCTGAAAACAAAACAGTGCTATAAAATATCAGAACATACCCTAATGTTTCCAGCACACATCCACATACCTTTTGAATAAACTAAAAGTTTTCAACCAACTGGATGTGCTGAAAAATTACAGTGCAGGTATCTCCTGGAATAAGTATCCATACCCTCTCCTAAACACCAACCCCCTTGATTAAATTGGGCATACAGTTAAAGTTGTTCCTATTGTCACTGTATCTAATGTTTTGTAAGAATGGCTATCAACTACAGCAGTATCATTACAATTATGTGGAACAACAAATTATAGGTCTCCATGGATAACGTACAAAATTTTGATGCCGTGATAAGAATAAAATTAAATAAAATCACAACTCCTGACACAAGTACTAAATTGCAACCTTCCTTCCAATAAGTGCACAACATTTGGACCAAAATTTTCTATAAGCCCACAGATGCCTTCTCAAGGAAACAAGGTTACCTTTAGCAGGCTCTCAAAGTTCTTGACCCTTATGACTTAAAATCACAGCTTGGGATTATGATTAATCACAGCTTTGGATTAAGAAAATATGAACAACAACAATTATAATAACATCACACTCTTGCATGTGTTAAGATGTAACATATTTATTTTAAAAAAATTATACAACTAGTAAACTTACCTCAAGTTTCCTTTGACATAACAAAGTCTTTCTTGGAACAAAAAGGATGGTGAACTCTTTTTTCTTGCTTTCAGTCTTGCCTTCCTCACTGAATAACAAAGTGAAACAATTGGCAACATTTGATAATTAACCTTCCTATTGGCCTATCAAACTTCAATGTTTTGATGACATAACTGCAAAGTTTTTCCACCCATTTGGATGAAGGTTTTGCATTTCCTGCCCACTTGAGAGGGTTTTTGCAATTGTGGATGATGATCAGCAATAGCATTTAAAGTCAACAAATAGAGCAGAAATTTCAACTGTGGCATACCACTATCCACCAACTAACACATTCAAGTGAAAGCTCTCGTACAGCTCCATTCACTTACTGACAGAGGTTGAAAGAATGTTGTTCATCAATGCAAAGACAGTATCAAAAATTAAGAATGAATAGTGCCACAATTTTAAAGTTTTTCTACCAAAAATGTTGAAGTTTTGAAGTTTGGTAGTGCAACAGAACATGTTTTTGTCACACTCATGGAAAGGTTGATGCTATCAACCATAGTACTAGTATTTAATTTACTGCACTTAAATGTAGACATGAGGCCCTCATGTTGACATTTTGATCCTCAGCGAGAGAAGTGTTTGTGAATACTCCTTTCAAATTGCATACACTCTAGAGCTGATAGGTAATGAGAATTAAGATGATTTTAAACTAATGACATTTTCTCTGGACAAAAGACAGTGTGAATACTTTCATCTACTGTGTACAGTGGAAATAGCTTAATCTTCTGTGGACAGTGTTAATAGCTGAATCTAATCGAGACTTTGCAGGCAGACTTTAAAGATGAGGGTATGATTGACTATTTAATGTTAAGGGTATACTTTGTAGAAAGCTGTACAAGACTGTATACATGTATGTTAGACACTGTAGAAAGCTTTACTTACTGCTTACAGAGAAGATAGTTATATCGTTATATCTACAGGAGACAGAGTAGATTATTTTAAATACCCTTGATCGTCTGAGTGTGGATAGTGAGAGTTTTGAATATGTATTAAGTAAAGTACATATGAAGTTTTTGACAAAGTGATAATCTGCTGTCTTAGAATGAAGTACATATCAAAATTGTTCACATGTTTTAATTTTCAACTCAACTGATTATTTTCTCTTTGAGAGTAAGTTAGAACTTCAGCTTACCTTAGGACATTATCAGCAATAATGTCCATCAATGATGGTTTAGGTCTTGTGATAAATATAACGTTATGCACTTGTGATGGAGGTAAGCGCCCAGGACGAAGAGGGAACATGACTTCAACTTCATGTTCCTGTGTTAATTAGAAGAAAAGCACACATAATGGAACAACCTCAAAATCCACCAGGTATTCATATTTACAATTTATAATAACATATTATGAACAAAACACTCAAGGCAAACGTGAAAACAAGTGCTCAATTTTAACTGTTTTCACATCTTTAAGTGGGGAAATAAGACTCTAAAATTCTTCATTTTTTCCATTTTTTTGTTTAATACATTGGTTTCCATGTCAGAGCAACTTTCTTTGTAACTTTTTTGTTGATGGAGAAACATGAGAAAATGTAATCATGATGTTCCAATAATTACAATGACTGCAAAGGTTTACAGTCAAGTTAGTATAGGATTAGCTTGTATCTGCTGAATTTTAGTTCAGGTTTAATTTCTTCATTTAGGACAACATGATCCATTCATTTTGATTGCTTTGCTACATGTTTTGTATCAATTCCTTTAGTCAATGAAACAAATTAAGAATAAAAATACACTCTTTCAAATCACAGGTTGGTTTATGTTAGTTATGTATGTCTCGCTGAACTTTTAAATCAAGTAGCATCAGGTGACATCTTACTGTTAAGGATGGGTAAGGTAAGAAAATACACCAAAATGTTGTTTGATTGGAGGGTACCTTCAATGGTTTCTAAAAATAAGCCATTTTGATGTTTTACAAGTGATAAGGAAATCTGGCAACTTGACTTTTTATTTCGGGTGACATGACTCAGGTTTCAGGTGACATGTCTTTGGAGAGATGACTTCTGGGTGACTTGATCAGTTATCACTGCAAGGTAGACTGAGATGTTTTGCCAAATGCTATCTCTTCTACCACAATTTTAGTTTAAAAAATAAATGAGTTGGAATATCATTAAGTCATACCTTTAATAGCTTGTATTCAGCAATCAAACCAAACGGCCCAGTAAGCTTGTCGTCCCAAACCAGAGCCTGTTGCAAAAAGCAAAAAAAAAGTATATAATTTTGAAAAGTTTCGTCCAAAATTAGGGACTTGTCAGAAATTAGCAGGGGGGGAGGGGGGGTGGGAATTTTAAATTTGGGTTCGGAAATTAGGTGACCCATCCCTGCAATGGGAGTGAAATTTGCTAACCCTCCCCTTGAGCTTGGCCTAAAATATCATGACCCTCCCCCTCTTGTACAGTGATGAATAGGATAGCCAGAACTCTACTAACATTATTAATAACAACATTATTCATAATTTCAATAAGACTATATAGCATTGTTATAAATGAAAAGTACATGTTTGTTAAATTCTTGCTATAGCACTTCACAGTTTATATCCATAACGTTCCGTAAACCGTTGTATTTTTCTCTTTTTTTTGCCAAATAAAGAACTTCCTTTTTCTTCTGTGGGTGAACCTCTACATGATCACGGGCATATATTTGCATGACCCTCCCCCTTTTAACTGCCCATTTTTCATGACCCCTCCCTTTTCTGAGGCTCAAAAAGTTGTGACCCCCCCTCTGTTTCAACCCCCCTCCCCCCCTGCTAATTTCTGACAAGTCCCTTAAAGGTCAATTCTAAAACTTTCATTCCCATGACTTAAAGATCAATAGTCTCCTTAGATACTTTCTGACATACATTTGATGAAAGTGTTGAGAATTAATTGTTAAATCAAACAATATTATTCCTTGTTTATCAAAATGTATTTATAATATTGTGGGGAGAGTTTAATTGCAGTTCACTCCTGGTAGTAAAATTGTTTAGTAAGGAATCATTCAGCAACTATCGGTTGGAAAAGCCCTGACCATCATTTCCAAGAAGGATCGATATTCAATCAAATCTACCAGATGGTTTTTCGCTACCTTAGATCCAGGCTGTTTATTCAAGCACTGAAGAAGTTCCCTTCTCGCGCATTCGCGCAGCAAGCCCACATTAACTCGACCATTCGATAGGTGGCTTCCTCCGGTGGCCGCCATCTTGAATACATATAGTGTACACTATGTGACGAGAGAGATGAGTGAACTTCCTTTTACTTGTACTACCGCTGGATATTAAGCGCCGATGAGGTAAAAAGCGATAGAAGGGTTAGGAATATTTCGACTGTTTATGAATGGCTTTCTTCCTTTTTCACCCAAGGCTAGCAAGATTGACAGGATTTACTGGCAAGAGAGCTAGAGTTTTTCCTGATTTGATGTCAAAATATGGACTTGTTAGAACAGTAGTGACGAAAACGAAAGGCAATTCAAACACACTTCTAATTGGATGGCGCCCTCCATGGAATCCGAAATTACTTTCAGACGTGAAAGGGTTTTCCTCAAAATCCTCAAGTATTAAATCAAGAATTTTACAAGGGTTTCGATATTTTTGCTTGGCTGGTGGTGTAGTATTTTGGTCGTGCGTTGCTGTTTCCTTGACGTTAAGTGCGACCGGATTGTTAACATTTGGGATCGAGGAGGAGACAGTGCAACTAAAGCACACAAACCCCCATATGGCAAAACACATAGCGTCCATGTTTCAGTTATATGACGATCCCGAAGATTTATTAGATGTGACGACTCTTATGGAAGACAAAAAAGATGAATACGCTTTGAAGAGAGCGGCTTACAACTCAACCTGGAAAAAGCTGTCAAATGAAGAAGGTTTCCGAACAAAGTTTGGAGACGAGGTGCTTGTGATAGGGTATAACCGCCAAGAAATCTCTTTAATTGAAACACGTGACAGAACAGGAAAAGAAAATGTTCACAAAAATGAAGACAGATGGAAAGTGTGTGTTTTCATTGTTGGTTCTAAAGTATCTGGTCTGGTGACGATGGAATTTCATAAAGTGACAAAAGGTGAAATTAAGTGGGTCCCAGTGTCACTTTCTGTGGAAGAGATACCAAGATCAGGAATTAAGATCTGTGATGTATCTGCTCCTCTTCCCAATGGTGTCTCAAAATTTACCAGATTCATGAATGATGACTTGTGACTTCTATTTTCGTGTAGTGCCTTGACAGACTAGACCATAGTTATGGGGGGCTGGTGACAGGTTAGGGAAAGGAGAACAAAATATGTAAACAATGGTACTACAGTTTATTTTGGGAGCCCTATGGTGGGGTCCAATCTTTGGTTTTTGTTTTTGTAACCTAAGCATGTTGTGACAATTCACTGGTGGGAAGTTTCTGTTGGTAAGATGATTCAGGATTGGTGGCATATAATTGACCAGGTCTAAAACCTCCATCGAAAACAGATGACATAGAAATCTGTTGTATTTTAAATGTGGTCTCCTCTACTAATGGTGGTTAGGCAATTAATCAATTACTCTGGGGGTTGATTGGAAAGAGGCATCAATTGACAAAAGAAGTTTGTCTTGCAGCTCACTCCCAAAAGCAAAGAGGTATTTTTTCATGTAGAAACTGCTGATCTGTGAGCCAGTAAATTTGACTCAGATTCAGATATGCCTCAGTTTTGGAGTTGATCCAGTGAGCTGGTAATTTCTTGCATCATTTTTCCCACTAAATCATTTAAGTTGATGCCTCAACAAATAGTGTGATGACTCAAGAAGTTAACACAAACATTCTTCATAATGCGTAACACCTCTAACTTAACCAGAAAGAATGAACAAGACAAGACAAGCACCCTTTCTTGGTATGAAAATGAAAATAGTAATGATAAAACCCAACTCCATCTTGTATTATGCATTTTTCTTAAATTGGTCTTACAATTTTATTTCACTTTTCAAGGAAAAATAATACTTTGTTTATCTTAGAAAAAAATATATTTCCTTGATGTAGAGACTCAAAAGCTTTCCCTATGCTCAGCATCATACTACCATGAAACTTGAGGGAAACCAAGCTTAATGATAAGGACTGTTTAACACTCAAATATATCCAACTTTAAAAATTATAGGAAAAATTGAGGTTCTAAACCAGTATTTATTTTAAAAAAATTCTCAAATTATTTGAAAAAGAACACTGTTAGAACAAAACAACACCAGCAGTAAAATATTGCCTTCGCAATGAAATATCAGCTAGAACTACCCAGCCAGAGGAGTGCAACCCATAGTGAATTGCTCCTCGCACAGAACCAGACATAACTGAGAGAAATCTGCAAGGTGTCTTGCACTCTGCTTTTCCTTTTGAGTGAGTTTAGACACTTATGTCCAGTTTAGGACGATGTCATCTGTTTTCTAATACTATCCCCTAATTTCAGACACTTCCTTATCTTTTGGGATGTTTCTGTTCAATTTTAGACACTAGTATCTGATTTCAGACAGTTCAGCCTTACTGAACTTTATCAATAAATGAATCAAAGTAATCCCACCACACTTGGTCAGTTTTCCTTTATTTGATTATTTTCCCATCTTTAAGTGATATAATACAAAATATCAATGCTAGGTTGAAGTTAAGGTAACATTGAAAATGAAGAAGGTTCCAAGACAGTGGGAATTGCACACACTCCTGGGACTAAACTAAAAAGTCATTCTTTAAAATGACATGAGCAACATGTAGCTTAGGCAAAAAGGTTGAGAAGGCAGAAAATGGCTCCTCAAAAAAATTCTGCATTAAATGGAAAAGTGTACATGTAAGATAAGAAACAACAGGTTTTCTACATTAAAATGTCTGAACTTCACAACAATACTTTTCTTCTGTAATTAAAGGTAATTCATATCAAATTAGGGTATGCAAGGCTACTTATTTTATAACTAGAAAATACCATGGACTGTGATTTTCTGAAAGCATACAATTTCTTCTTGTATAACACCTAGTATATTAGGTAAACTTAAGAAACCCTGCACAAGCTAGGAATTACACCACTTGAAGTAAGAGATTTTGATTTTTGGAAAATTTTAAGCAATGTTATCCATGCTACATTTTAGCTGGAAAGTGAACAGTTTGTTGAGAAGTAATTCTCAAGCTGGGTTCCCAATTTTCTTAAGATTAAGGGCTTGACAGATTCATACTTAATTGTCAACAGCAAAACCCATAAATATTGAATTGTTCTTATATCAACAAAAAGCTAAGGGAAGCTGAACAGTTATCTACAATTTACAATAATCAATTATGGTTTGTATTAAACTTGTGACCAAAGTTGACAGAATCATACAGGAAAATAAATAAATTCTGGGTTTAATTTAATGATTAGTACAATGAGATGCCAAATTTTTCTTTAGGAATTATTTCCAGATAATGAGATTTCTATCACATTTACAATGTTAGTGACCACTTGATACCAACTGGTGAGAATCACATCTAAGCCCCTCATTAACCTGCTCACTGAAAAAAACACTGGACCACTACCTACTTCTTGCAAGCATAGTAAACTTAACTAATATGCATGGTTTACTGGCCTTATTCAAGCTATTTACAAGTGCAGCTGTGCATGATATTTTTCTACTGATATACTTATTTTTAAGTATGTCACCATAAATTCAACTGTGGGCATGGTAAATGAATTAGACAATTCAATACAATACTTCTTTGCAAATATCGTCATATTGGAAGGTTTGACTGCAAAAAAAGTACAACAAAGTTATCTTTTGCACAGTGACTAATGCACTTTAATGACCATCACCCTCCCTCATTTGTTACATTAGTTACAGCCTTAGCTATCTCTTCTTTTTTGAACTGTCAGTGAGTGCAAGGACTCCTACCAAGTATAAAATACAGAAGAAATATCTACTAGCATGATATCGCTACTGATGTATCGCAAGAATCTAGAAAACAATGCAAATTAAAAGACTATATATTGACAAATGCATTGGTGTTGGTTGCTTTCTCATTTACAGTTACATTCATCAACTTGCCCAACACCAATTCAGTCACTCTTCCATTCGATGTTATCTCATTTCTTTTTATAATCACTCCACATAGTTCTTGATAATCTTTAGAGCAACTTGATCAACCAAACAAGAGTATTATGACAGTTACTACTTGGTCAAAGAAAAATTTCAAATTGTTACAATAAAGTGTTTAGAGAGAAACACTTGGGTATGCTGTGGTATTTTGTCTTTGGCACTTTAACATAAACAATCAAAATATTAAATAGACAAGAGTTGTTATCAGTTGTCTGACTAACAATGTCAAGTTCTAATTGACTGTCTAGTCATAAGAGCAGTAAAAAGGAACTTATAGAATAAGAAAGAAGGCAAATTTTGAGCATGGTGGTGGGACAGAGAAAAATAATCTTTGTGTTATCAAGAACCCTGGACAAAGAAAAACTCTGAATTTCCATGCAAAATCAAACCCCAGTCTTTTGCAACTTATGCAAAATCATCATTCAACCTCCTGTAGGCTTTTGCCTTTTGAGCTGGTTTTTTACTGTGTGTCCCTATCTGTACCTTTTTACTTTGTTTGACTGGTCTTCCTTTGATCATTCCATAGAGCACACAGGTGATCACCATCACAAACAAGAAGTAGCTTGAGTACTGCAGTCTTAGATTAACAGCTGATACATCAACCTGAAGAAAAGAAAGTGATTTGGTGACAAACATATTACCTTCCTCTGTTTTCATGAAATTCTACTACAATGCTCAGCACCAAAAAGTTAAGCTTAATAACAGATGAAACCTTACATCTACCTCAACTGGAATGGATTTCTGTTTGGATTTTGCAGCTAAATTAAAGATATAATCATGCAGTTGTCCATGTGATAGTGGTCCTAAGGACTACTGTGATGGGCAGTGACTGACCCTTCAGCAATTTGGGTGGATCTCGTCATTGTTTCTCACTGTACATGGTGACAAATGAACTTCACAGGATACCCAAGCTCTAAAACCAATACTTTGACAACTGCTTACCATTGCCATTGTTGAAATAGTGGTGTGCTGCTGATTCAGTGGAAGAGATGTCTCAGCCTTGATGCCACTGGAACAAAATTTTTCATCATGTGTGGTAATGCTGACCATTTCTACAACATTGTACTCTGATGAAAGGTTGCAAGTCCTCCCATACCTGAATCAGTATGAATGGTAAATCATTTAGTTTGTTTCTCAGCAGAGCCAGATGAGTTAACACTGGTTATGCTGAACTATCCTACACAATAATTAAAAGTAGCAGCTCATCTTGCAAGGATTCTAGCTTTCTAAAATTCAATTGATTACCTTCAATTTCAAAGTTCAAACTTGTTTGTGTGATTGACTGAGGAGAATTTCCAGGATTTGAAGCTTTTCTAAATGAATTTTCCAAATGAATATGGAAACATTTGAGGCATCGTGGTATATGCAAATACTGTATCTACATAATGAATCAAAGTTACTTACTGCAAATGTTTTGGGACAATCTCAGTTGGAACAATAACTGATCCACAAGCTTCCAAATACATTGTTTTACATTTTTCTTGGCAATCTGAAAAGTAAAATATGAGTTCTACTCCTCCAGAGTAAATGATGTGATTTAAGAACAAGCATCTTAAACCTTTGTTAAAAAAGTCTAACCTTTATTCTACAAAACTCTTAAAAACTGTATTCACAGTATATATATATATATTCTTAAAAATAAAATTCCCTCTGATGAGTGAGCAACCACAAAACAGGCTTGTAGGGATGAAAGTATAGCATCTCCCCTATTGTAACATACATCACGCTCTACTCCTACATATCAAGCACTGTAAAACAGAAAAATCAATACACAGACTTCCTATATATATATATATTGAGTCTGGAGACAAAAAAAAAATTACAATACAGTTACTCCACCAAACCAATCAGCAGAGCCCCAGCTCATTAATTTTTACTGGTACTCTCTCATCACCCAAGGTCACCTCAAGTCATAGCTTCTCAAGTATAAGAATGGAGGCTTACAAGTGAGTGCCTTACATGCTGAAGCTCTTTTCATCTTAACATGTGTAAATAGATAATCCAATCAGAAGAATACTATTGGGTGATGGCCATGCTACAATGTACATTTAACATACCCATGAACCATGGTTGATGAAAAAACAATGTGACATTGATCACTGAATTCCCCCGAAAACCTAATGACAAGAAAGCAACAATAAATATTTGATACTCTAGAGCCCTGCAAACTACACAACTTCAAGTGTCAAAAGTAATCTGGGTTGATAAAGGGGCATGCTTCTAAAGAAACTGTGGTGCTGTGTTAGTAGTGGAGTGTAACAAGATAATTTGGTTTCATCAACTGAGTTGATAATGTAAATTGGTCACCAGAAAGAGTTTCAAAGCTGCTGTTTCAAGCTGTAACCCTTTAACAGAGTGAATGACAGAGGACTAATGCTTGAAATGTCAGCTTTGAAACTCTTTAAGCTGGCTTGAATTGCTTTTGACTTATTATCAAATGTGTTTGGTTAAACTTGTATCTCCATAAAGCTGTCTGTGACAAGGATGATCACTTACAAAGCTTTATCATTATCAATTATATCAAAATGAACAATTTATTTCCAGAGTACTAACCTTTTAAACCCAATTCTGATGTTGGTATTTGTGCTGTAACATGTGTGACATTCTTCACTACAGCACTGAAATTAACTGAGGGGTTCACAGCCAGATGAAGCACTGGTATAGATACTGTGGTAAACCCATCAGGTATAGCACCAGTTATATTTGTTGAATTGTCACCAGTGATATTTCCAGAGAAGCTCTGGTCACCAAACATACAAAATTCAGAGGAACTCAAATAACCTAGCACTGATCCCCATTCCTACAATTAGAAAAAATTTATAAATGATCAACCACTTAATTACAATCACAAAGCTTTCCATTTTTTGGGCTCTTCTGTTACACAAGTGCTTATCAGTATGGTTTTTATGGGAAAAATATGTTGAGGTTGACTTTGACAAAGGACCTGATACAATCAGAGGCTCCCTGAGCGCAACTTGTTTGATACAGCAGAAGTAGGATTCACATTTATCTTTGAGATAATAGGTGTGTTCTGGGTGAATTTGCCATTTGGTAGCAATAGCCCACCCCTAAAGCCTGGAAATGAAAAGGTAGGTTTACCAAGTCAACTCTACATTCACCTTAAAAACCAAATTGAATTTCTTCGCAATTTCATTGTTTAACCATGTCACACAAATGACTTATTTGTTCTGATTTCCTCATCATCACATAATGTTTCATGAAAAAAACAAATAAAAGGCCCTTTTGGTCTGTCAGGATGATGAGAGAGAGGACAGGAAGGGGATATAATTAAGTTCTCTAGCATGGAACAATAGCAATGGATAAAAGGCTTGATCTGTACACCCACCACCCTTCAGGTCACCCAGTTCTACATTTTTCACAATACTTCAATGGCTATTCAATACTGCCAAAAATGAGTTGGTAAAATCTGCCATAGCATCAGAAGGATGTCTCAAAAATTAATGAAACAGTTTACCAAGGACCACAATCAATGGCGAACATTTCACGGGTTTCAACAAGGGAACGGTGGGAATAAAAACTCTGAAAACTTTTGATGGTATGCTGGTGTGAAACTGATACATGCTTTGAGGAGGTCTGAGGGATTTCGTTCTTTGATAACATGAAGGTCACTCGCATAATTTCCTCATTCGTTATCACGACTTATAAATCACAATTAAAATAATTCACGACAAGTACTGAAAAATTGTGTTTACAATGACCCTCCTCCCCGTTCAATTCCTGGCGTGACATCCGTGTCAGAAAACAGTTATGGGGAAGACCAGACTTACATTGAAATCTAACAAAAATTTATATGAGGGGATATGGAAAAAAAATAAACTGCAAACCTCTTCGCGGGCATCAGCGGTGTCAAACCAACCATATGTCTTAATGAAAAAGCCAAGAGAAAATAAACCAATGGCGAAGGCCGCTATACAAACTATAAAAACAACACATGGCGGTCGAGCAACGGCGAATCCAAATAAATTCTTTCCACCCTTGCAATCGACCATATTTCTAGGCTTTTGACTCCCTCTGTCTTCCTCAAGCTACAGACTTGGAGAGAACAAAGAAAAAATTGCAGATGTTATTACAGTTCAAAGCGTACACGTAGTCATTAGCGGACTGAGACGCAATCAAGTTTCAGATGTAAAAGCCATCGAAAGTCGTTGAATTTACCTAAATAGAGAACTATTCAGTCGAAAATGGGCAAAAATCCACCGCCACTGTAATGGACAGTGAAATGTGATTTTTCTGAGTTTCTACATCTGCGATTTGAGGGAGAAAATTACTGTTTCGCTTGCCAATTACATGCCGCCATGTTGACTTACTTGTGAGCTTAGTATCCGCGCCGATTGACATATGCAAGCCCATCAAGTATAAAGTTCGGCATCAATCACGTTGACGTGTCACGCCAAACAATCTTTCTCACTAAGAATTTTTCATTTCCATCCGAATCAAACAAACGCAAAACTAATTTAGAAAAATAAATTTTGAAAAATCCTTAAAGCTACACCCTGTACGATGCATGTATTTTGACAGTACGAGGGTCATGGTCATTTCAAAGGACTCATCTTGCGGAGAACGCTGGTAGTATCGATCGTTTGTTGTTGGTTTTGAGAGCACCGTTAACCTGAAGCATGTGATAGTAAAGTATATTTTTGATAACCTGAGGAGAAAACACAAAGAGAGAGGGAGAAAAAACAACGAGTTATACCTTCGATTGTTACTTAATTCCAAATGGTAATGATCGGCGTAGATCTAGTTCTAAAATTTTCTCATTAAACAACTTGTTTACTCACATAGCGACTTATTCTTCTCTTTGATGCACATCAACTAAAAATTAAAAATGTAGTGCTATGATGTTTGTCAAACTTGTCAGAAGCAGGAAAAAAGTATTACTTAAAAAAAAAGGCTCTTAGTTCCGGAAAAGGCTTTTTCTTTTTCATGCTCGTATTGTATGTATCATCTTTCAAAAAGTTTATGTATTGAAAATTAGATTTCAAAGACGCAGGGAGTCGGTGAGAGGAGAATAAACTATCTTAAGGGTGTGTTTGTGTACATGTGAGATCGAGGCTTAGCCACATGGATCTCAGTTGGGGCCACGTGGTTTTCAATCCCTGGTTTCTGATTGGATCAAACTGTCCTAGCTGTCAATCATCTAAGTAAATTCTACGTTCCAGCACTTTGAGAGCTTTTGTTCCGTCAGTGTTGTTATTAGTGAAGAGTGCACATGGATTGAGCGACGGCGAGTGGGAAGGGATACGCATTGCGCTGCTACAGATCCTTGCAAGGAATTTTCTAGTTTCTTTTATTCGCGTTATGAGTTTGGACACGTTACTAGAAGCCGCCAAGTTCGTAGAATCTTCTTCTCGAGGATCATCTAAGGACGATTCGGCAATCGCACGTGGTACGGTCGAGTAGCCATGTGCAAATATTCTGTTGGTGTGAAGGCCTGTGTTAAAATTCTTTCTACGATCACGACAATTTTCCGATGACAATGTATTTGGTCTCTCTTTATGCATTCTAGTTCACTCTCCCTCTGTTCACACCGAAAGGAGAAGAGCTATTTCGGAATGCGAGCCCCTTGAAAGACGACGAAGACCTGGAGGGTAAGTTCATGTAGATGCTTGCCGCTCTGGAAGAAAGCGGTCACGGTGGTAGTTTGTTATGCTGGGCAAGATTTTCAAGAAATCTGTTTTCCCTTCTAGGGCCGGGACTAGAGAAACGCACAACAAACTAGAGAAAAACAGGTAAGTGATTTCTCAAGTTGAATTCATAACATTGTGAGGGAACCAGATTTTAGTTTATCTGCACGCGAAGCATATTCTTCATATCATGGCGGTCGTGTTAACTTGTCTGCGCCTTGTACGCGGAGCTATGAAGCTTTGACTGTTGAACTTTGTATCTCTTATTCTTCCCTACTTTCTGAAAGCAACATATTCTTTCTATTTGTCAGATCACTACTAGTAAAATTCTTTACTGCGTGATCTGATGAGGTTACACATAAAGTACCGATATAAGCTTAGAGATGAGAAAAATCAAGCTGAAAGTTGAATTTATAATTGCTTATTTTATTTGCACATCCAGACGTGCGCACTTGAAAGAATGCTTCGATATCTTGAAAAAAGAAGTCCCTTCACTGGAAGATAAGAAAACATCAAACCTAAACATCTTGCGAAGTGCGCTCAAGCACATACAGGTGAGGGGACTGTTATTAATTTTCCTCAATCGAACGTCGATAGGTAGTATAGTTTCTTGAGATATGGTTGGCAACTGTTCTGTCTGTATAATTTGAATTTGAATAGCTATTGACTTTATTGAACCTATTGTGCAAGATGCGAACAAGTTCAGGCAGAGCAAGCTGTGTGTCTCAGACGAGTTCACATCGAACATGATAAAGTAAAACATATGTGTCTAAATATACATTTAATGTACAAAGTCCGTGTTAGAGTAAATTAATGTGTCAATCGCTGGTTAGTGGCCCAAAAAATGTGTGATTAGTGCTTGTGCATCGTTATTAGTAACTGCTCTTTCTCCTAACCGCTGCATTAAATTTTACGTTTACTCTACACCCACTCAGTAGAATATCAAAAGTATTACGTTACCGCAGATGTGTTTGCCAATAGCTAGTCAGATTTTTTGAAAGTAAATACTTAACTTTGTTGTGGTCGGCATGGAATTTTGTCCCACGAGAGTCACGAGTTCCGGCGTCTTTGTGTTTTCATTTTCACGGTCGAGTAATTTTTGTCTCCTTTTGTCAATTCGGCGATCTGATGACTGAAAATTTCCGTGCGTTTGATGTTTCAAGGCTAGCTTGAATCCCTCGAACCCAACTGAGTTGCAAGTAAACCCAATCAGACGATCGGAGGAAGCTAGTTAATTTTTGGAAGCTAGAATGGTTATACTATTGTCCAACTAATGTAATTACTCAGCAGAATTCCATTACATGGCTTTATTTTAAAATTTATCTTTCCAGTTATAAGTTGCAAGCCTCAAGAGGTAACCTCTGCCATGGATTTGTTTTCCTTTGAAAGTCATGCTTGCAATAATACTGAACTTAAGTCTTCATAACTTCATTTGAAATGAAACTAGTGAAACTCTCGTTGACAAGACAGGCAAATTTACTAAAACTGTTTGAGGTCAGTTTTTAATTAATGATCATGTGAATTAAAACTCTGCAACACCTAGACTTAAACAGCTCAGGAGAAACTCAAAATGTTTTTGTTTTCATTTTGGACCCTTTGTGTCAGCTACAAACCTTTGAACAAAGGTTCTGTGTCTGAAATGAGAAAAAAATGTGAACAATGTAATTTAACAGGAATTCAATAGAAAATGTCATTATATTATTGGCATATAACTCCTACATAGAACAATTATACTTATGAACATTTAACAATTCGTCACAATAGATTATTAAGAACTATTGTGGTCTCTGAGAACATGTCTTAAGAATCTAAGAGTTGATCCTCTTTACTTTTGGAAACCTTAAGCATTTGATAATGGTGTTTGTTTATTTTAATCTGATTTCAAGGTTCTTATGTTCAAGAGACCTTTTTGTTTACAACTAAATTATTTAAGTTCCCAAGATAAAAACGAAAAACTATCTCTTTGCAGTATTGTTTTGCCAATTGGATCAGTGCAAGCTCACAGCAGCTTGGCAGGTGTATTATTAGGGGTAACAAGATGTAAGCAGTTGAAATTTAATTTTATGGGATGATGAAAGAGAAAATCAGATTTTGGCGTCAGTGAACATGTTTTCAAAATTTATGTGAAGTATAAAGCTTGAATGAAAACAAGAACAGGAGTGATTATGCTTTCATCAATGGAGGGAGGCATTTTAGAGGAGAAAATTATCACAGCAACTCTATCTATGAAATGCTATGCTTGAAATAAGTGTCAAAAAGTAAATAATACAGAATATTTCTTTGTGTGACAGATTTCCTTTTCTCAGTTTTGACTGATTATTTTGAGTGAAATTACAGAGAAAAGTGCAGTACAATTGGCTTAGTAAATCCAAACTTTCTTTCCTTCAAAAGGAGTAGAGAATTTGATGCCATTTTCTGTGAAACATAAATTTCAAAAAGTTAACAGGTTAGACCCTTAAACTCCCATGAGTGACCAAGATAATTTCTCCTTACAATATCTAAACAATATCCAGCAGATGAGTATTTAGGGAAAGAAAAATATTTATAAGGGGATCATTAATTGATCTAATATCCAATCCTCCAAACTATCATCATGAAAATTGTATAGCAGACAGTAAGGAGATTTAGCATTGAGATCTTTGGATCAAAGGGATTAATGGAATGAAAAGATCATATTAAGTATGCTTTCAGAGATCTCCCTGTATACCTAAGTTGTCTTTAACTGTGGATTCCTGTATGTAAACTGTCCAAGCTGACCACTTCCAGCAGTGGTGTTTCTTCCTCTTCAATGTAATGAAGTATTTTTGAAAAAAAAAAAAATCCTCCAGAGAGCGAGGTGCAGTGGGTGTCACCTACCTGGTGGATTATGCGGGTATACTCTCCTTAAAAATAGTGAATAAGTGAGTATGTACTTTCCTTTATCCTGAGTGAAAATTTCCTCTGCTATTCAGAAACAGCTTAAATCACATTTTTAAACCTGTGAGAAATGAAAGCTTCAGTGTGAGATTGTAAGATTGAATCCTTTTGTGTGATGCATAAGCACCTAAGGTTGAATCTGTATGTTTGATGTGTGACTTGAGAGCCCTTCCCTTGCCTTTCAACATTGACTCCTTTTCATGCAACCCAATTTTCACTATTACTCATTTTAACAGGGAGGGGGGAGAATGAGTCAATAATCACAATGTAGGTATCAGTTAGGCTTGAGTTCTGATGGAGGATAAATTGTTTTCTTCTTTTACGACTCCAAATATGAGACCAGTTAGGTAGATGAAGCTCAAGAATGACTTCAAAATGACACACACTAATTTGGGAATATTAACTTCCATCTCATCTAACTCCTTGTTAGGAAAAATTTAGTGGAACTTTTTTGAACACTTGCCCATGAGAACTTAAAAATGAGAATTAGAGGTGGAAAGTTTTCTTTTCTTTTGGCAGAAATTTTGTTCAAAATATCTGTTGTGTTCATAGCCACAACCAAGACAACTTGCTACTTGTGACCTCCAGGTAGACCGGGCAAGCTGGGACACATGATAGGATAGTTAAAAAAAAACTCTTTGGTTTCTTAATTGAAAGGTATAGGCTTTGGGCTCAACATGTGGCTGTGGTAATTTCCAACAAAAATGATAAAGTAACCCAAGTATGTTTAGGTCAGCAAGTGAAATGTGAAAAACTGAGTGCTGAAATTCTTGTTTCAGTTTATAAAGAGTTGAAATTTTAACGGTATTTAACTAATTTTTAGTTCCTGTAATGATGATGTGGTTTAACATAAGAAGATGTGATTATGAGGGAGTTTGAGCAGTGTGTGGGAAAGCTTGAAGAATTTTGGTAGATTAAATGGGTGAGGAGATATTAGTACAAGACATGGTGTTAAGGGTTTTGTAGGATACTGGTCAATACATCTTGAATTTAAGAAAAAGAAGAAAAAAAAAAAACTTTCTCAATTCCAAACATCCTTGGTCGATTGTCTGTGGCACAAGAATTTTTTGCTGTGATAGCCTGCACTGGTGCACTTGAAAAAAAATATAACATAACATTAACTCAATCATACACAAAAATAGAAGGTTTAAGTGAATCATTGTATATTAGCCCAGATCTTTGGTTGTTTAAGGGAGAACACTTGTAGTAAGTTTGAGTGTTAATCCTTCAAGTTACCTTTGGAGATATTTGGAATTTGGTCTTTGGAAATTTTGGAACATCTTCTGTAATGTCTGGATGTGGGCATATCACAGCAGGTTCTTAACATCATATCTTTAACTTGAAAAAAGATAGCATTTATTCAGTGAGTAATTGGGAGCATTCAGCTTCAGAAACACTGACTTTATCTGCCTAATGTATGTTTACTGTTTTAAAAAATGTTGCATTTATCTTTCTTGAAATATGATGATACAACAGGAACTAATACATTTGGCCATGAAATAAATACAAGAGTATTTGAGAGCAGTTTGTTGAATAGCTTTTATGACAATGCTGTGTTGAATATAATTATACACCCTCACTAACAAAAAGGAATTTTACAAACTGCAAATGATTATTTCTGAAGCCAACCAGTCTTCCTGAATCCATTCTGAGTCCTTATTGTTTAAAAGTGGCTCTTCTAATCTCTGTTAAATGTTAAGCATTCATAGATTTTAATAAAGGTTTTTGAGTGGTCATGATGTTGTAATAGTAATTTTCAAGTGGAGTAGATGGCCATTAGGTACCTCTTAAACTCCCAAAAGTGATTTACAAGTAACTTCTCCCTACAATATCCATGCACTATACAGCAAACAGGTAATGAAAATACTCAAATGTATCAGGTGGAAGTTGTTATCTTGATCTAACACCAAATTCTCATAACTAATTTACAAGGAAATGTGTAGCAGCCAGAGGGGAGAATGAACAATCAGTTCTTGGGAGTTAAAGGGTTTCTAATGGACATTTTTGGATAGGGGATAGCAGAAACTATTTTTCCTTGAAAGTAAGGTTTTTGGGAACTGATTTAAAGCTACATCAGAATTAAGTACATTTTAGACTGCTTTGTGTTATGTTAACATTTAAACATGCATACTTAAACTGTGCATTTTCTGTGAAATGCTTAACCCTTGACACTAAAATTAGTAGGCATATTCTTAACACTGTTCTTTGGTCATTTCCCATGATATTAATAAGAAGAATTTGTCAAAAAATCAAGAGTTTCTTTAGATAGCGATCACTTCGTATATTCTCATGCCCTTAATGTTTGATTCAGAGGTGATACTGTAAGGAGAAATAAGATAGCAGCCACTTTTGGGTGTGAAATGGTGAACTGAGTTTGGTAAAGATTACTGAATGACAGACCAATTGATTGAGGAATGACTGACTAATTGATGGAGTGACCTCAGTCAGAGAGGAGCTTAACCCTGTACATCCTAACATCAGCATGCATATTCTCCATAGTGTACTTTATATATTTCTCATGGCAATGACAAGGAGAATTTAGTTAAAAATCAAGAGCTGTTCAAGTTTGCAATCATTTTCTTGATTCTCATAAGCCTTTATGTTGGATTCAGTAGTGATAACCTAGTGAGAAATTAGATGCTAGTAACCCTCAGGGATTAAAGGGTTAAAATAATGAGACAAAGGGGCCCTTTTTCCGTTTTTGAAATTTTAGTTACAATATAGCATGTTACTTTACTCGTTAATTTGTCCTTAGACCTTGAAGAAGCGCGAACGTGATTTTGAAGCAGAGAGAGACCTCCTTAAAGTCAGCAACAGCACCAGCAAGCAGCGATTGATGGCACTGAAGAACGAGTTGATCCTTCAACAGGAACTTTTTAAGGCTTCCTCGCAAGGAGGCAATAATTCCAAGGCTTGCCAGCCTCTCAATGAGACAACGTCTGTCCAGACCGAGGTAAAAGTGAAAAGCGAAGAAAAGCTGGCTTCGCCAGTTTCCGTTGCAACTCAGACCTCGTTCACTTCTGGTGAAGAATCTGATGTAGATGGCACCAAAGTGAATATGGAAGGTGTCACCAACGGGAAGGTGGAACACTCCAACGTAGAGAAGCACGAGAAGGAAGCTTCTGAGGACGACGAGGATGAAGACGTAGACGTGGAAGGAGAAATCACAGACGACAACATTGAGGATGTGGATGCCTCGGCGGCGGTGAAGGCGGAGGTCGTGAAGTTACCAGAGCCTGTGGGTCCTTGTGGAAAAGTCTCTTCATCCAAAAGGAAAGCAGCAGCTGGAGATGATGGAAATAAATTGGAGGCCAAAAAGACCAACATCAAATGCTGCGCACGTGTCAGCTGTTAAGCACGACACGTGACAATTATTTGATAAGGTCATGGCCAATCTCACTGTTGTGTCGTTCAGTGACCAGATCTTTCATACCATGTATGGCTTCTAGGGGGGAGTGTGGTTAGTGAACAGATCTGCAATGCAGATCGAGAGGTTGTAATTTAAATATTTCCTTAGCTAGGTATTAGGGTTTTCTGTTTTGTACGTGAAGTTTTATTTTAGGTTCCCTCTTAGCCCGCTTAGCCTGAGCTTTGATGGCCAAGCGTGAGAAGTCGGTAGCGGGTTGAAACACAAACACGCGCGTTGCTTCAAATCATTGGCATCCGCCAACTTCATGCATTTTAGTGCTTGCTCATTTGTAGCCGTCTGGCAGGTTCCTTAAATGTCACCTGCGAGGGAGGGGAACAGCTACAAATGGCAGAGGGGTGTTGTTATCTTTTCGAAAATAGGGTATTACATTGGCTCCAAGCTACTTGGACCGAAAAAAAAATGAATGTTTGGTTTTAGTTTAGTTAATCAAAGTAACGGCTCTTTAGCATGGCTGAAAGACAGTGTTACAATTTGATTAAGTGTTGTCTTAGAGGCGTTGCAAAGCAACGCGTTGTAACTTTTATAACAGCTGTAATGTGGGTAAAAAAACTCTCAGTTTCTCGACTGCTCGCACTTGAGTTTGACTAAATGGCCCTCATCTTTCCCCTTCGATTTGGTCATTTTCAAGATATGTTTACGCCTCGTGTGTCAGTGTTAAGTGTATTTAAGGTGCTTTAAAGGGAAAAGAAAAGAACTTCCCCTAAACGATTGTTCAAACGACTGAAAAATTTCATTCAAAATCATAATTATTATAATGATCTTTGTACAAGGTGCGTTCGTCACGGACGACCCTTGGCGTGGTGTTATTTTCTCTAACGTACTTGGCAGTGCTCAGTGTATATCTTTTTCTGATCACATTGGGTCGTTTAGAAATGTCGTTCATTCTCGTCGCAATATAACTATGACAATGGTTTGGAACAAATCCAAACCAAAAAATGAAGTATTCGGTACAAACCCAGAAGTGAGAAACAGTTGCTGGGATTTACGTGTAACACGAATGACGTCGACCTTTACACCCCTCTTATTTTAGGACGAAAGATACTGAGTTTTACTTCAAAAGTGTTGTTTAGTAAGATCATGCAAATTTAGGCTACGCCAAGAACTCTCTTGTACGGTAGACAGCACAACTGTTTTCTGTTTTAAACTTTTGTGGGAAAGCTATATATGAAAACATGGCTTAAAATTCACAAGGTACAAGTTTAATCTGTGATGTCTGATCATAATTCCGCCGGAATTTGATATAAAAGGAAAACTCCTAAGCACTGCTTCATAATATGATGGAGTATCGTTCTGTGCATGACAATTTCAACGTTCTTGAGCAGTGCCTTAATTAAGTACCGTTTATCACAGAGGACAGAGTAATTGAAATGGTTCGTTCCTTATATGTGCTCTGTGTGACTAAGTTCAAAACTTAGAAACTCTAGAAAACCTTTTGGAGCAACTAAAGTAGATGTTTGTGTGGTGCTGTTTGTTTTAGGCTGTCGATGTTTTTTAACATGGAGTTCTGTTTTAATGTAAGACTTTAGTGTGAAACGGTGCTAACCCTTGAAGATCCCGTGCTTTTAAGAAAATTAACGTTTCCTATCTAAACCTTGAGTATTTATGCATTAATATACTGTACCTCGGTATACGTTAGGAAGAAAGGAGGCAGAGATGTAGTAGTTGCTACTGTGTAGCTTTAGTGGGGTCTGTAAATGAGATTAACTGCTGTGAATAAACAGGCCGTATTTGTCCATTTTGGGACAGAATGAAACATGGCTTCTTGTGTGGTTTAAAGATGATCAAATAAGTCGCAAAGTGATGATGCAAAGTGAACAGCAGCCTTTACAGGTGTTAAGTCAATCCATCGCACAGAAAGGCGAAAATTAAAACCTTGATGTGAATGAAGTAAGAGAGTAGAAGAAAGGCATAGAGATGTTCGCGGCCAAATACTTCCTTTCTTTCTTACTTTCTTCGCCCTTCTTCCCTTCCATTTAAAACTACAAAGGTACGAAAAGGAGACGATGTCGGCCTTGGGCCTTAAAGGTTGGTAAATTGTCTACGATTGAGAAAGAGAGTAACCTTCAAGCGCTTAAGAAACGTTTGACAGTGATGTTTAACGGCACTTTGTAATTTTTTTTTTTTCGTTTTTTCTTCTTGCGTCCTTCTGAAGGATAGTACACTCTTCACACCACCCCCCTCTCAGGTCCGGACGGTCGCCTTAATCTTATGCTTGGAATCCTTTTTAAAAGCTTCTATGGGGTCCGAAACTGTACCAGAGGTTTCTTTTTTTAAACGCAAAAACCAAGGAACTCGCCATAAGTAAGGTTCAATACTATCATATAAAACTTACCTTACGTGACGTCCAAGTTACCCTTTACACCATAGCACCAGTGTGCATATTCTCCTCGTTGTTCTCTATGCGTTTCCTATGATAATGGTGAGGAGAAAATAGTAAACAATCAACAACTTAGGCGGGGGATCATTTCCTTTCTTCTCATGACCTTAATGTTTAATTGAGTGATGACATTGTAAGAAGTTAGAGGATGGGCATTCTTAACCCTTTAACTACCATGAGTGACTAAGACAAAACTTCTCCTTACAATGTCAATGCAATATCGAGTAGACAGGTGATGAGAATAAAGAAAAATATTTATTAGGGGATTATTACTTGATCCAACACCAAATTCTCCAAAATAACATCACAAAAACTATGTGGCAGACAGTAAGGAGAATTACTAATGAGAATTTGGGAGTTTACGGGTTAAGAGTTAACAGGGTTAAAAGCGCGCGCGACGAATTCTAATCCAGGGAAGTAGACAAATACAGCAGGAAAAGCAAGGTATTAGCAGGAGGCTGGCAACACCAAAGCTCGCAGTCAGTTGATCTCAGTCAAAATACAGTTTTTCGCAAACATATTTCTTGAGAAGTCAGCTCTTAATACGAAAAGTCAAGTGTTTTTCAGGACCCGAAATAGTGCGTTAATGATGTTGTTTCGTTTCTTAATATATCTATACTATCGAGGGAATCGTTGATGAATTCAAGAGTCAACATTAGCAATGGACAAAGGTTAAACATGTTTGCACAAGTCTTTTCCCCTCCTTGCGTTCCAGGTGATATACTTCAAGCAAACCACAACAACGATCAATTAAGAAACGTGATGAAATAAGCGAGATAATATGCAAAACAGTGTTTGCCCACGTGCGTCTAAAGACTTTGAACAATGCTAAGCAGTTGTCACCCAAAATACGTCAAAATTTCCTTCCGATCCGTTGATGGCTATTTTTGAAAATTTAATTTGACAGTCACCAAATTTTGCACTTTACACTAACTTCACTGGTTCAGGGGAGGAACGTTTTGACGCCAGGAGAGAAGGTGAGCACATCGCGTCTTGGGCGACTGAAATTTTTATGAAAAAAACAAGAGGTAGATTGCTCAGTGCTGATGTCGCTGTAGTTTTTCCTCAGTCTAACGATTAAGAGCTAAGTAATTGAAATACATTATTCAAAAGGTATAAGGTCGTGAAAGTGAAATTTGCAGGTTAGACATGCACATTCTACCTTTTGCAATGGTGTTTCCAACACAAGCTGTCTTGAACAATTTTGATAAAAGATTTACTCCTTGATGTAGTCTTAGCAGTCTGCTGCCAAGATTTTTATGAGGCCAAGTTCGGAAAAATAAATCAGTCCCAATGTCTCGTAAAGATCTTATTCACCTCCCGCATTTGCCAGAACTCTAAGATTACTTCGAAAAATTACCACAGTAATAGGCTTCATTCTAAAGACACCCGATCGACCTAAAGGCAATCTGGTTTCGTTGGGCACACACAGTCTATATGCGGTGTGTAGAAACTCTGTGGTGTTAGCACGAAAACCGCGCATTCTTCATTGCCAACAGTTTAAACCTGATGTCACTCCCGGAGGCACTAAGGAAGTCGTTTGGGCTCGCCAAAAGAAAAAAAAAAACCGGAACGTGTTTGACAGCTCTCTTTGAAACAGTTTCAACTTTTTCTCGCGCCGATCTCTTCACGCCCTAACCAAACTTTCCCTGTGGGTTTCCGTCCATGCCCTCACAACCGGTGGGAGTCGCTTACGATTTCTGACAAGCAATCTTTTTATATTTGAAATAACTAAATTGTACAATGTACAATTCTGTGTAGAAAGACTCAAGTGTGGTTCAGGATTTGTTAACCACCGACTGTCAATTTGCTGTTAACTAAGGGTATTCAGCTTAAAATAGGAACAAACACTACAGCATTTAGGATAAAGAGGAATACATGAAGTATTACTGATTTGAGACTCTATTTGAAGAAAATTACCCTTTTCGTGCACAAACTACGTGTGAAACGGATGACTTAACCGCGCAAAATTATTAGCTTCTAGATGGCTCGAAGGCTTTAGACGACAAATTGTCTTATGACACATTTCTCTGACATAAAAAAGGTTTCCGTGATATTCAATTTCCCCACCATCCTATCTCTCTCCAATAAACAAACCCTTTCATGTTGTCGCATCGTGTTTAGGTCTTCGTTAAGCGGAGGGAGACAGAAATTGTAACATGACGTTCAAAGGTCGATTTGTCGCGGCTCAATATAGTGTAACCAAATAACCGTAACATTCATCTAATCTAAAGCTTACGGGTCTCATAACAAATGTGGAGTCAATAAGGTTGGGAACAACACAAATGCATACTCACCCACGAAACCAATCACTATGATAAAACACCAATACAATGAAGTAATTACGCAAGGCCTGTTTCAGTTTTGTGAAACGGGCCTCACTCAAGATAAAACCAAATTCAGCAAGAACTCCCAATCATCAGGAGAACATGGAACCCGATCGCCGCGTATAAATACCACTCAATAAAAACATCCTTTAATCACAAGATTGTCACAGAAAATTTACGACGTAAGTTACGGCGCCGCAAGTTTTCCATTTTGTCCACGGTAATGTGTATAACGCACGAGGAGCTAATTGTCGAATACTGCCCCCTTTCGAACGCTTGTAAACTGAAATCAGGCCTACAGAATCACCCACTAAGTCTTAATTTCGCGTTGAGTCCATTTGTCAACATTCGAGCCATACCTCGATGCGATCACGCTATACAGTTATTTAGTTTGTATATAACGACATCGTTTTCATGATCATTACTGGAATGAGCTTAGGTCATTTTTTAGAAACTGATTAATGCTACAAAAATAATAGGATAGTGCTTTTTAATGAGCTCGACACGATGTATGGTGGACTAGAAATTGATGACGTATTGCCTGATGTTTACCACGTCAGAGTTTAATACAAAGTTCTTAAAGGAATTACCGTTAGGAGAAACCCTTTAATATTTAAGGGATATGCCAAAAAAATTTTTTTAATGGTCTTCGCGAGGTAAATAATAGCATGTGAAATAACTAAATTCATAGGAAATGGATGCTTTGTTAAAGGACAATCATAACAATCATTAGGTAAACATGACAGCGCGCAAATTAATTAACTTTTTCTTAACATAAGAATAGTGAAAAATCTGAATTTATGGTTACTTTATTTATAAGTCACTACGCATTGAAGCATTTACTGGCTTCAATTTTCTGCGCGTAACAGAATGCTTTGAGAGTCTTCCTAGCGGTTGGCTTCGTTATGACACAAGTTGTCCCATTTTGTGGGGACAATAGAAAAACAGGTGTAGACACCCACGTTGCTCCATTGACGTCAGAGGGTAGTAAGAGCCCATTAACACGGGAGGCGTCCGTCAATGAAACCACTTCTCCGCCAAAGCTAATTCCTAATTGGACCAATCAGAAGTCGACAGCTCGGAACGACGACGCAAACGACCCTTATATGGGAAATTCAAAGGAGTGACATCTGTTTACAGAGAGCAGGTGTGGGAGATGAGGACGAGCAACCAAGCCTTTTCATAGCAGATGTTTACAGATAAGACAGCACAAAGGCAAAGAGAACCCATAAAATAAGCTCGAGACACTTGAATAACGGCGATCCTTCAATGCTGTTTCGTTTCCTCGTTCTCAAAATGCGATATACAATTATGCCTAACCTAATAGTTTTTCTATTCGATCAGAGAAAAAGGGTTAGTTTCTACAAATGCGACCTACTTAACATCACTACCAACGCTATATCCTTGATAAGCATCTATTGATAAGTCATTCCTTAATGTAAATTAAACTGAAAGCTTGATAGCCCGGGAATAAAGTAGCTACCTTGATGAGTCCTACCTTTCCATAGATGAACAAGAATTGAGAAACGGACTTTGTAGAACTTACAAGATAGTTAGAAGGGAATTAAGATGTCAATTAAGAGGCTACACATATATATAGCTAGCGATATGATAAAAGTACTTCGTTTACACAGCATTTTTTCCTCCAAAAAAAAATTAAAGATTTATGGCATCTTTTTCTTGAAAATAAAAGTTATATTTAATTCGCCAGACTGAATTCTCGTTTCGATGGGTTCTATTCATTTTTTTTTCACTGACCGACCACGACAACATTAGACAGAAATAATAGATTACAACTTCATTTATCGAGCATGAAGTAGAATAAAAAAGTGGACCGCATCTTCTTTCTTCTTCTTTCTCTGTCAGCTCTTTACATCGCAGTAATCAGAAGTCTTCATAAACATCTCAGCTTTTGCGGTGTCCCGGCAACATCCGGGTTATTGCTTTCATTTTGGTAATTGGCATCTCACCATAACCCACGTAAACCATTTAAACGTAATCTCTTGGGATGCGCCTCCCGTTATCAGCTGTTGTTTAGGGCTTCTTCTATTTCAGCTTCGCTACCTACCATCTTTAAACACAAGTCCCAACTGAAGGCTTCCTAAAGAGGAAGGAAAAATCAAAGCAGGTTAGTTTCTTACTCTGAGGAAAGCAATTCATTACAAAATGATCTCACTGCAACCAAAGATATTTGCAGTTGTCCTTCAAATTCGTTCGCTGACTGCTTCAGGGGATTATTTTTCGCTTTTTTGTGTCGTTCACTGCCTTTTGAGGTATTCTTTCTAAATTTCTACCAAATCGCAACCCAACCATCAAGAGAAACCGCTTTTGGTCATGGTCCAAGACTTACAGTCACCACTCTATATTCAAGAGTTGGTAACAAGAAAACTAGATCGTTAAAGTTATATAATTGACACAACACGTCTATAAAGTAAACACGATACTTAAGTTAGTATTTAATCATCGTTCTCTACCTCGCACCAGTGTTTAACGTTTCCGAAAGCAATCGAAACTATGAGGAAACATCAGGCAGGCAGAAACATCCAACAAATCCCCCAATTTTATTTTCATAACTTTTGAAAGGCTCGCAATCATACTCATGAAAGCGGATATACAGCTGGTTAGCAGGAAGCTCCAATTTTGAGCATTTTTATATCGAAATAACAGAATGCTTGATGGCCTCTCTTCTACAGTCGTTACGTCTCAGTCCACAAGATTGCCGCATATCTCTGATCCATAGTCTAAAATCATTGATATACTTACAGATAATCAACTAGGTCCATTAACACTCTAATAATGTATCATTGAAAATTCACGCTCATACAATGTTCCTACAGTTCTTCACTCTAACACATATAACGTCCGCAGTATCACGGTTTGTTTCCGTCCTGCAGATCGACAAACATTATTTTTGCTCAATTACCCCCTTCCAACTATTAACGACTGACAAGCGCCACCCCCTCTTTTCTCTCAGTAAATCACTCAGTTACGAAAAAAAAGATAGTCTACATTTTAAAGGGTGCTTAAGTTTCTTCCTTATTTTCTTTTTTGGTAAAAACAAACAGCCTGCGTTATCTAAAATATATGCCACGGTCTAACCAGCGAAAGTGTCAGAGATCAGTTGGAAAATACTGAAATCAGCATTCGAACTCCGGAGTAATAAAGTACATCAAAAACATTTCTCTTTTCAATTGCATGAACGCGTATAAAGATTAAACATCTCCACAAGCAGACGAATTCGACCAACACTGACAAAACCTTATAGATAATTACACCTTGATGCTGCTACTTGAAAAGAGGATTAATAAGATGCACACTTCATTTGTAGATCCTACACATCAGTTAACGGCAGACAAATTAAAAGATATGAGAAAAGTGCAGATTGCTCTCACACAGAACCCTCAGTGCCTCCTCGCAAACCACAAGCTCAAAACTAATAGAAATTCATTGTCTCTAACGGTCTCCTCCGGCAAAATTGGAGTGGCTTCTCTCTCGTTCATTACAAGGAAACAAAAAAAAGCTCCATCTTTACAGCTATTGTGCTCAAGCCAGCAAGACACAAGTTTATGCTCAAAAGACATGCATCTTAAACAACTAGCTTTCACGAAACACACCCAGGCAGGCCAGACATCATTAGAAGCGCCAGACAACAAAAGAAATGTCGGTTAGGATGTACATTACTATTAAAAGACAAGAATTTGAAAGAGTCAAGAAAAGGCTTGGGCTGGGGCACGAGCTAGAGGCTCAGAATTTCCGAGGTCTACCTAACTCAGTAGTGCTACTACTCTTCTGGTATAGAATGCTGCTAATCCATTGCCATTCGCAGGCAGCTGTTTTAGTAACTTTCACACAAAAGCTCGAGCGACTGCGTACTTTAAACTTTTATTGAGACGAAATAGCTTTGTAAGCCGGTATGGCACATTTAAACACTGTTAAAAGTCCACCCAACCCTCCCAACCTCAGGTTGCCATCAGTGTTCTTCTGAAGGTAGTTTAATAATTCAACCTAGGACACATAGAGAATTTTTACAGCTGTCTAGAGAAAATCTACCATTCATCATCCGTTCATGGGAAGTTTTGTGGTTGAGATCTACTTTACAAAGATTGTGGTCTTTTATCAGATGATGATAAATAATATAACTATAGAAATAAACCCAGAGAAGTCTTCTTAAACATTTCTTTTGTCAAAGACTTTTTTTTTCATGTTTTGAACTTCTATGGTGCGTTTTTCTTGTCAACAAAAGAGGGTCAACCCAAATATTGCATATTAATCTACAAAAAGAAAAAATTTACATCCTTAGTCAAGGGTCTAGAGAATAGATCCAGTCATTCAATTAAGTTTGTCATCTATTACTGACGATAAAGGAATATACAACAAAGAAATACGAGACGCGAGTCAAATTTTGAAAGACACTCAATGACGTGCCGTTAAAGATAAGAAAATTTTATGCTAAATAATTAAACCAAAATAAGAAGAATTAGTCAAAGAATTAAAAAACTACTAAGGCTGAGGTAGTTTGTGACCAATGACGCGCCACGAAAACGAAATGAGTGGCTATCTTTGTAAAATAGCAAGCGATGGTGCATACTCGCAGAGAAGAAAAACAGATAGGGTTGCGTGTTGAGGAAATTTAGACAATCAAGACTGCTGTCGGCACACTATTGGCCTCTCATTAAAAATAAATGGATTCAAAAGGAAGTATTGAGAAAACTCAATGGTTTCTAACGTTATTCGAAAGATTGCCCAAGAAGATTTATAGTCGATGGACAGGCAGATGAGTTTCATTACCAACAGCGTGACGCCATCGAGCAGAATTTAACGTCTCAGAAGATGGGAAATAACGCTGTTACGAGAGAAGAGAGTAGGAGATCAATTTGAAAGTTTTGATTACAATTCATTTTAATACCATAAAAGTCATCTTAGTCGCATAAAGCCTTTCTAAAACTTAATTATAATTTACGGTCTGGCGGTTATGACATCTTACTCTCAGAATTTTTACTATGACCTTCTATTTTCGGAAGTTTTAGTTGTCTAAATTTATACTTGATCAAGTGACGATTGTAATTTGCTTGAGCCACGTAAAGCTTCACCTGTCTGTTTTAACATTTCCGCCTACGTGGTGCTTTCTCTTTCTAGTGGATCGGGGAAAAAACCTTTTGCCGTCTTTCCTTTTCACTTTCGGTGGAGCATGAAGAGCTATAAAAACCATGATGGACACAAACTATTTCAAGCATTCATGATGTAATGAGCAAATGTGTTTATCTAGTTTATCAAGGCCAAAACCAAGCTCTTTCAAGCTACCGCCGTCTTAATGTAAATAATTACGCGATCACTAAATGCGGACAACATGCCTCCACTGCTTGTCAGACAGTGTTGCTTGAGGTTGGTAAAACATGCTTTGAACACAGACATCTGAAAATGTGTTCAATATATGATATAGTTTGCAGGACAGAGTAACACACAAACGCTCTACCATTGGTCAGTGTGGGATGCGTGCAGAAATGTTGTAAACAACCATATTACAAATTCAGGAGGTCATTAATAGTGTGCTCTCAGCCGAAACTGAGAGCATTTCTCTTCTCTCACATGTAAAGCTATAATCACATGAAAAAATCCAGCTTGTTCTCACAAACCATCAAGACAGAGAGAGCGTAATGGCTTTCGATTAAACACCACCACTAAGAAACGAAACGGTATTTAAATGTTGATATTACTGAGAACTATCATTTAGTGTGTCAAACAGCTGGTCGATTTGCTATCAATTTGTTTGGTAGCTCATTAAAATGCAAAAGCTATATCTGAACAAACACCGGTCCAAATCCAACTTTCCGCTTGATTGTTTTCGATAGGAGATCAACTTTTTCGTAAGCAAGAACAACCAAGAGTCAATCCCACATATTTTTTGAGTAGTCTTTCGAAGAAATATGTTGAAAACAAAGTTGCGAGGCTTTCGTATTACATGACAAGCAAACACGAATCGATGAGCGATAAAATCTTACCGTTGCATCTCGGAGTTCAATCCGAGTGAATACAACTCTTTATCCCGGCTTATCGAGCCAGAATTTCGACTCCGGCCGGTGTTCCTCAAACAGGCCCCTCATTTTTACAAGGTTTAGTGGCTGGACTATCGAAAGATCTAGCGAAAAGTGACATCGTCGAACATAAAGTTCAAACCTCATCCAACCAAGAAATGGCTGCAACACAAGATATCCCTTACAATAACGGGTGCGGCTGCAAAGTAGGTTACGTCATTTCTAGTTTAAGCCAATGAAATTGTCGAAAAAACAATGCAGATGTCAATTCTAAACGTATTAGCCAATTACATTTCGACAACTCTCGACTTTCGCGCACATGAGAGTCACGTTGGTAGAGGTTTGACACTCGTAAGAAGCCTCCTCAACCATGCTATTTTGCAGCGTAAGCTTGTTGACAGTAGTGGTCTTGAAACGCAGCTCAATTAGGCAACTATACGGTAGTACTGACGGCCACATCTCACAACCATCAAGTTTGTTTTGAGTTATACAGAGGCGGAGAACACGTGGTCGGTGGATGGGACCCATTGAGCGTTAATCAAGCAGAGGAGACTAACGTTTCAAGCTAGGACGCTACTGCTAACACTGTGATCGCAGTCGAAGCCAACGAAATGACAAGTGGTGGAAATTATTCATCGCTCCGCCGGGCTCAACTCACTTACGATTATCTGCATACAAACAGGTAGTTACGGTAACGATTTGCGGAGTATTTTATGGTCTTGAGCCCTTCACCTTGACCAAGATTTTCAAACCATGTGTAACATGTAAGGGTATTTGTGTCGGATGACTACAGGCCCGTGCACGCGCATGTTTTGCCTATTTTACAGCCAAGGGTGCATCAACTAATTAAAACCTCGCTAGAAGCAATGAAAAGAAACGTAAATAAGTATCTAAATTAATTCCTTTTACTTTAGTTTTTCGTAAATGAATAACATTTCAAGCTTTTACGCTTCGCAGAAAGTCACGTAGGATTTAAATAGTAATCTGCTCGCAGTGCGTATATATTCATGCAAATTATGTTGGATCTGTATGCCCGTGAGCTAACTAAGTGTAACTGACACGATCTGAGGAGTAGCCTCCAGTGATCTTTCTCCTTTCATTTTTCCCCAAATAGCACAACACACGAATTCCTGTTCGGAGCTTTGGCCGAGTTGGTTGATAACGCAAGGTATGAAATATAATTTCAGTTTCAGGGCACATCGTTCGAAATAAAAAGGAGTTGAAGGGGTGAAAACTTTCGCTCTTCCAGGACTCAATAGCGCGATGTATTTCTTCATTTCGCTGTTTACAATTCACCGAGGGATGTATTTGTAAATGATTACCTTAACTTGGCGTCGTCGTTTGCCTTTCTCGGTGGAAAGACTCAACAACTCAGCGAAGTGCGAGTAAACGGAAATTCCAACTGGTGTTGTTTGATTCCTGTTGTCAGGATTCTATTGTTGAAATATTACCCTTGATTTGGTTTACTATCACCTTTTTTTACTTGTATCTCGTTGTTTGGCCCACAAAGTGATTATAAATACACTGAAATTATTGACTGATAGCCGACATGAATGCATCGATCTGATCACCCGGCTAGGTGTAGTGTAATGACTTTATTATTGCTAACATTTATCTTAGTCATTGACTCAGCCATTTATGTATTTATAGTTAATTTTTCGTATAAATTTCTCCTTTAGAGATGCATCGTCACAGAAAATCGACATTTACACAGGTTGGTTACTGCTTCTGAAGGACTTTGACTTTGGTTGACATTTAATACGTAGATAAGTAAGCAACACAAAATTCCAATGCTAATGATGCTATTGTTTTCGACTTAGCAAAATCACATGGGTGCCGGACTTTGATCACATGATCAAAGTGTCATACTAATTCATTTACTGGGAGATTTAGAGTTTATATATTTATTTGGTTTTCATTTGATAATTTACATTATATCTATATATAGCAAACCTTATGAATCCTAAATTAAAGTTCTTCTTTTGGTGTGAAAGCTTTTCACAATAATTACTTTCTGGTGGATGTTTATTTTGGGAAACAGAAGGTTTAAGTGGTAAGTGTAGCTTTTAATTCAGGATGTGTGGCATTTAAATATCAAAGGAACTGATGAATCTTTGTTACATTAATTTTTGTGTACACAATCCTTAGGGAGATTTGATTGCTTTGTTTGGCTTCTCCTATTTTAAGACTTTAATTGTCTGTTTTGACTATAACTGCATCCAATATAGTCACTGTACAGCAAATTTGTATCTGAATTTGTATTGCTGTAGCTCTGGTATCAATATGATCAGTCATTGATTTCTTTGCTTGAAATGAGAAAACTATATCAATTTATTTTCTTTTACTGTAGCCTTGGTGTGAACCCTATGGCTACATAGATTTAGGCAACAGCTGAGTTTTGAAGCTTCACATGTTGACTTATTGTGATAATTAATATTATAACTATGCTTTATTTCTTTTGTTAGAAACACTGATAGTTCTAATGATCTTTGGCCTTAGTAACTGATGTTGTTTATTTATTTTTTTAATATTATTCATTCTTGACATTGGCTTATTTAAGGGTAGCCTGCGTAAGGATCATTATTAGCATGTGGGCTGTCCTTGTTAGATCTCTCTCTCTTCATTATACCTACATAGGCATGGGCCTGTAGTAGATGCAACAATTTTGCTATTCTGATTTTAACCATGCCTCTTCCAGCAAGGTCTTGATGATTCTTGAGTTTTTCCCTCTTCTTGTTCTTTGTATACTGACTGCCTGGAATGTCAATGTGGTCCTTTAGCAGTCATTACTTTGGCTGTTTGGTTTTTAAAAAGCCTAAAGAATTTTTACTATGATCACCCATGTTTGCTAGTTTGGGTGTTTGTGTCTTTTTTATTTGTTCAGTGGTGATTTAGATAGAAAAGCCTCACAATAGAGTAGCAGGACGCTGTTCCATAGTACAGGATAATGTCTTGTTGTTCACTTCTGTGAACTAATCATGTTATCGTTGAGGCTTAACTGTCACAAACTGGTGAAATAATTGTTTATGATTAAACAGATATGTTACAGTTTGGGCATTACATGTCCTGGAAACATTTCGTCACATTAGAGATCACCAGTGGAGATACCCTGTCTCCTCAAAACAATGCCTCTGGGAAATGGTTACAACAGATATGTTACAATCTGGGCATTACATGTCCTGGAAACATTTTGTCACATTAGAGATCACCAGTGGAGATACCCTGTCTCCTCAAAACAATGCCTCTAGGAAATGTTTACAACAGATATGTTACAGCTTGGGCATTACATGTCCTGGAAACATTTTGTCACATCAGAGATCACTAATGGAGATACCCTGTCTCCTCAAAACAATGCCTCTGGGAAATGGTCAGAACAAGAAACAAACACAGCTACCAGGAGTATTTCCTTTGCCAGGCCTGTTTGTATGGTATTTTAAGAATTTTGTCACTGCTTCTCTCAGTCTAGTACAAGAACATATATGGGATATGAAAAAATCCACAAATACATGCCAATGGTATGATAGTCTGAACTAAATATATTCTTAACCAATTGTTGAGAAATCTTGTACTGCAGTGCTGTTCTACATGATTGTATACCCACTCATTTGATTTAGGTGTTCCTGCTGCATTCTAACTCCTCTTTGGTCATGGTTTATCTCTTGTGCTTTGCACTGAGTTTGGTTTCCACTTATATGACAATTATCTCCATTTTTGTCATTGTAGTTGTATTACTTTTGTGCTTTTTGAGAAACCATCCGCGTCCTGATTTATTTTAAAGCAGATCAATATCCAAATACCTACATTTCTACTAAGTGTGTATAAAATGAACTGATATTTCTTGAATCTCACTTTTTCTATCAACTGGATCTCTTACTACAGGCAATATAACCCATTTCCTGCATTCTAGAGCAGTGGTTTGAAAACGATCATTTCACTGCAATTCCATCTTATTTTTAAAGAACTCCTCTTAAAGTCTTTCCTATCGTTACAAACATTTTATCCATACTCGCCTACACCTTTTATTTCAATTTTCCTCATACTTCAGGGACTTCAACGTATGCTTTATTGATGTATAACACTAGTAGGAGGTCTTAACAATGTAAGACGAAGGAGAGATTTTGGATTGACCTTTTCTAGGTACAGCTCTCCAGCGTTATTGATAACAAGGAGAGAAAACCTAGAAACCGCAACTCCCTAATGCGTGGACATTGAATCTTCTAATGCAGACTTGAAGAAAGTAAACACGAGAAAATATCTGAACATTCTACATTCTCGCCGTTTCGAGTTGGGTATAATTCGTTAAATGCTGCTTCTCTTTCACCTTAGCGGTGACGTCAACCGTGCTAATGTATTTCTCAAGAAAAGAGCCAATGACATTTTACTAATACAGTAAAACAGCTTTGCCCGATTTACGTCCTGCATAACCCAACTTAAATGTCATTAATGAACGGAATCCGTAGGCTGGTACACAAGTCAAAGATTAAATAGACTGACAAAGCAGAGAGAGAGACAGGAAAGGATAGCGAATGCGTCTGAAATCAAATTAAAAGGCATACTTGCAACCCAGTGAAGACGAAGGCAAACAAGGAATATTTCATTAAGAACTAAAGCAAATTAAGAGTAGCCAGAAAAAAGGAAAAGCGTTATCCGAGTACTGAAGCTCAACGAGGCCTAACATGAAGCTTTGGACTAACACCGCACTATATTGTTGTGGAATTTTCCTTTGTTAAGAGGTTGCTGTCTCTACCATGCATTTACTTGACGTCAAGGCTTCTCAAGGCTCATCACATGCCACATGTAGTACTTCTTAACCGTGAGACACCTGGTAACAGCATTACAAAGCTTTCGACGGGAGAGATAAGGAAAATTGACTTTGGAGCAGATTTGGCGAGAGGTGGAAGGAATACAGCAAGCATAACACGAGAAATCTTAATCATGAAAAGCCGTGCTGTATATAGATCGAAAACTTTATTCTGAGACCGTTAGCTGTAGCAGATCATAAGGCTCCCTGAGAAAGGGTGATAACAATCTGGACCAGAGTGCTTTAGTCGCGAGGACTGCTAGTTGAATACAATTCACATCCGCTCATCAAAGAGTTATGCAAAGACGAGACCTACCTTTCTAACTAAACCCGAGATGTTGGGAAAAAAGACTTTGAAAGCAGTGCTATGATATACATCACTCGCTTTGTAAACGAGGTCCTTGTTGAACTGCATTTTTAAGAAGACGAAATTGGATTACCCGTCAAGTAACACTGGAAGTCGAACTTGAATATTGTAATTGCCCAAATTATAGCATTGTTACTCCATACAAAAAGGGGCCGTCTGCTTATGTTACCACGCAAATTAACCTCTCTACTTCTTAGGGGCAACAAAATAATCCTCACGCCATTCCGTATAGCTTTACTGGTCTTTTCCCAGAAGAGATCTGTAGTCCCCAAACACACATTAGCTAGTGCGTAAATTGTATCGACGAAATTAAATCGTATTTTGATTTATACTTTACGTTTCACCTATTTACAGAACAATGCGATTCATGTCGAGGAAATTTTATATTGTGCTTCCGCGACGACGGAGACGGAATGGATCCAAGTAAGTTGTGCATTGCAGAGCTAAAGTACTTTTTCGAACTTAAGGTTGTAATGGTGGATGTTATCTCAGCGCACCGTTCAGTAGAGGGAGATTAAGCCATGACATGCGAAACTCTATCAGTGACGCTGGTATAAGGTTTAGGAGACAGTTTCTGATTACGACGTTAGAAGTTTTGGAATACTGACCCAACCTTTTATCTAGGACGTCGGTCACAGCCCCGAAAGTTGAATGAACTGGTCCCAAACGCCTCCCCTTCTCCTCAATGCACATTGCTGGCTTCGAATTCACTTATTAATAGAAACAGACAAAAACGAAACTCTTAACGGTGTAATCCCACACTCAGGAAATCTTAAACTGTTCAGTTGACTTTTACCAAGAACCCGTTCTCTTTAACAAGAACCTGTAAACTGCTTCTCAAAGACCCTTTGTGTAATCCTCTGTGGCACCGCGTCTAATATGAAGGAACCGTAATCTTGCTTTGCAGCCGAACTCGGGAATGTTATACAATTTGGTCGGTCCGTCAAACGCACCGTGGACTCCAGAATGATTGGGCAGTATGGAAATGGACTGAAGTCGTAGGTTTTATACCATTTTGTTTGAATACCATTCTGAATCTGTTTTTAAAACCGTATTTAGCCCTTTCTTTTTGGAATATATCAGGCACTTGACAGCGCTTTTACATATATTTTCACTCGTGGTAATATATATTTTTCTACATTTCAGAGGAACCATGCGAATAGGGAAAGACATGATCCTCTTTACAAAGAAGTGAGTATAGTTTAAAGTCTGTTTAATGGAAACCTTTGGTTCAAACAATTCTTTTAAAAATTGTGTCCTGAAGATCCTCAAATTTGACAAGAGCACCACCTCTCTTACTCCATGCTTAATAGTGAACGCACCAGATTTGTGTTAGTATATGTCTAATTTTGGAGAGTTATGAAACAAAACGAATGGTTCGTTGAGCGGGAAATATTTAGATCCAATGGATTCTGTTGAGGTGTTGGTCAAATCGCTGCGATGGGAGTATCTCGTTTGCTCCCTCGGTTGTGGAAGTATACAGTTAAACTTGTTGTTGTAACGAAAAGATGCTTTTTGTGGCTTAAGTAAATCAGAATTGTTATTTTAATTTTCAGAGGTAACACCATGAGCTGCCTGTTCCTTTCAAGGACATTTCACGAGAAAGAGAAGATTGAAGAAGTGAGTCGCGAAGGAAGATAAGCTTTCAAATGCATGGCCTACAATATTGCGTACCGTTAAGGGGAACAATCTTCTCTCCAAGTAAATACCAAATTCGGGGGACTTACCTTAGTGTATCATTATCGTTTCGGTATCTTCGAAAAGGTGCTCGTCATGCATCTTGATGATTGCGTAAATAACAAAGCGGAAATGAAGTGACCGAGATGCGCTTATCATAGCTGTTGAAAATCAGCCAATCACAAGGCCGCTCAGTGCCTTTTAGTATGACGCATTTGCAGTCGACCTCACCTATTGAAGAAGATTAGTATTATGCAGGCAAAACGTGGCGTTCCATATCAGAAGTGACTATATCGTGGGGCAGGAGATTATTGCCATTATAATTTTAGTTTGAACAGCTCGAATAGAATAATTTCTCCCTCAGACTTGTTTAAAGGATGCCATTTTGATTTTGGGCACCGGTTTCTCCGTCTCGACTCCGATAGACCTCTGCAACACTAATGTATCACAGGTGGTTATATCCAACTGTTAAATTTAGGTATGAATGCAGAAAGAAAAACTGCTTTGGTTTCCTCTTTCATAACAGGTTGTAGTTCCGATGCCTTCCTGGGAAGTATCCAGTAAGAAACCTTTTGGTAAATCTAAGCGTGAATTGGAAAAGGTAGGAATCGCCATTTTTACTTCTCTTGTTGAAGATAATTGTTACAAAAGCCAGCGTAATTAACGTCAACATTTTCCCTTCACAGCATCAACTTGAATTGAATTTGATCTTGAAGTACTCGCCTTTCAAGATGGAATCACAGTTGTTTGAGCAATTTGATAAAATAGGATCGAAAGGTACTTTTGTAGACGTGAATATACTTTTCATTTGAATCTGATAACTACACAATTACTTTCTTTATATATTAACGCTCGAGGTCTTTCCTTTTTTCTCTTCAGGGACGCTAGTTGTTGTGTATAATGTAAAACTCATGGATAATGGCGAGCCTGAACTTGATGTAAGTTGAACGCAGTCGAAAAGACCACGAGGAATGTAATGATGTATATCGTACCTTAGTCACTGGTCGAAAAAATCTTTCCGTTTTATCTTAGTTCTGACGATACTTATAGTGCAATCAGTAATCTTTATAAGACTCAGTTTGAAATCAGCATTGGGACTCAAGGTTTCCCTAACTTGAGTTGTAGTGTTGCAAAGTATGCAAGTGTGTACATTGTGGAATGAAAGAAAATTAAGGGGGTTGGTATTTTTTGTTAATTATAGGTTCTAAAATTGGGAGCAAGAGTTTTAGCGAGGTTACAATTACGAGACAAACATGATTTCCGAAAATATTCAAAGAATCTTTCCTATTTATCTAGAGGAACATGAAAAATTTCAAACCGATGCTTTCATGTTTATCCGAATAAAGTTCGTTTGCAGCCTCTACGAGTTCGTCCAATTCAAACCCACATTACCAATGCTAACGTTTAACCTCTAAGAAGTGATTTACCGCTACCTTCTCCTTACAATATCGATACATCGTCCAGAAACCAGGTGATGAGAATAGGCAAATTTATCAGTTAGAGGGTACGTTCTAATATAACACCATACTCTGTCATTAATTTACAAGGAAATGTAAAACAGTGAGCAGGACTTGTGTGGATAAAAGATCGTAAAAAATGGTTCTGCTGATGTTGATGATTACAATAATAATGATGGTGATAATAATGATGATAATGTAAGCGATTATACTCTACCATCACTTCTATGCTCTTTGACTCTGTGAACCGCTGTATATGAATCTTGTTGCGAAGTAATGTGACTTGCCAGTTTTTACCACGGACGCAGGAGGCAATATTGCTTCGTGGCTGGGAGAGGGGGAGGTGCATGTTTAGTGACAAAACCTAGACAGGAAGGCGGATGTTTGCTAGTGCTTTCTTTGTCGCTGATGTGTGTGTATTGAGCTACTGGTTTCCATAAAAAAGGATGACTGATAGTCGCATCCGTTTAATAGAACTGAAAAGAGGTTTTTCTAACTTGTAATCAGTTCAGATGTTGTTCAGTCAAGTGGCGGTATCGAATGCAAGGAAGGAAAACGATTCATTCGTAACTAACTAATGATATAAAAAATGACCAGTTGTCCGCATCATAGAACGTATTATAGGAAAGAAAAAGTGGGGACAAGAACCCATATTCCCGTAACCGATAGCAACAGCGACTTATATATCGTGCTCCTTTGAGGAATTAGTAAAGTTTTATTTCCTTGAAACGCTGAGTGAATCCACGCTTTGAATTAGACATACGTTACACTCACCCCCTTCCCTCGCCAATCTACGTACATTAAGTGACGATGTTCTCTTGGTAATTGGTTGGATTTTGGCTACGTTTTGTGGCAAAGGTTGGACCTCGATTTTAACATGAGGAGAGAATCTTATAATACATCTGACTCCGGGCCCCTCATAGTCACAAAGAAGTGATAATCTGTAGAGACAAAACAGCCAGACATGCCCCTAAAATACCACCTATTAGAATATCATGTCTGCCATTGTCAAGCTGACAATGTTAATGTCATTGGATACGTAGGTAGTCAGTGATCCTCATGATATCAAAATGGCGGATCCAGAGGCAGGAGGGAACGTGGCAGATTACGACTTGTAAGTGTTATTTCGACCATATTCCTTGCATTGTATACTCTCTTTTTTCGTATACAATGCCATAGATACCCTAGAATAAGAGGTTACGGTTTAATATCGTTTGGGTCATGGCGCATAGAGGCCAATTAAGCCCTATAACAGGTGGATTCAACACTTCCTCTGATATGAGAAACTTCAAGTGACAGCTTATAACTAGTCCATAGGAGAATCGTGCCTGAGAAAATTACCCTCAAGGTCCTGGTGACTAGTATAAGGTGCTGTCCTTGGAATCTACAAGCGACTTGTCAGCAAGTCTGTTTAAAACTAAGTACATGTGAACGATAGCCCAGGTCAGTGGAGCGCCCTTTAAGCTAAACATGCATCCGAAACTCACAAAATTAAATACATCGGAATATTTTTTCACAAAATTAGGTGTAATTTTATCAATAATGGCACTAAAAATTCTCTGCTTTACAGAGCTTTATAGATGGAGGTGAACCAATTTTTTGTTTGTTACATTTCTCGAGTAGATAAAATTTTAATAGTTAGTTGTTGTTATTCTGCTAGGGCTATGCCAGAGAGGATTTCGTTTAGAGCCTACACTGCAATTATGTACTTGGATCCTCGAATGAAAATTTACATACAGGTGCGAGTGGTCATGTGTTCAGTGTATACTAATGAGCTGGCTGATCGAGTGTTTGCGGAGGTGCCAATCTCTTGCTTCTTTTTTATTCCATCAGGGTAAAAAGGTGCGGACAAAAAGACTAACGACTTGCTTATACAACACGAAGTGAGTAACGTTAAAAATATTTCTTTGATTTTTCTTGTTACTCTTGCGATGATTCGTAAAACGTTGTTACATTAGGTTATTTTCATCGCGCTAGTTGGCTACATGCAAAACATCTTAACAACCTTTTTCAATGCAGCGAGTTGTGTGAATCCCTTTGGAGCATGTTCAAGGATGTGGAATTAGGTTTGAACTTATTTCTTGTGTTACGTTTCCCAGGTGTTACGATTTCACGTCTAAAAGGTTCAAGACAAGATCGGAACAGGAGAGTGAGAAGGCTGTTCGTGAGGCTAAAATAGGTAATGAATGAAAGACTGTTGTTAAACGTATATTAAGGGTCCAACCTTGAATCATAATACTTGGTATAACTTGTAACACTGCCTTTCAAAAGTTAAGTTTCAAAATTGTTTCTTCTTCTCGCTTCTGTGGTACTTTCAACTTAGTTTTGAAACGACCTCAAAGCAAGAGCGGGATTTGCTATCTACAAAACGCTAAACTTGATATAATATTCCAGGAAACGTTACCTTTCGTTAGGTGCGTCGAAATAGGAGTGAATTTGGTGGCCGTTACTTAAGTTTTTGTACGTACAAGTATTTTTAGACCTTGACAAGATTTAATTATGAGCCCCTTTTATAATTTACTTTGCAGCCGAGGAGAAGGCGCGAGAGCTTGAAACACAAGCAAGGTATCTTTTGAGTAGATAAGAAACTTTGTGTCCAATTGTCTTTACTAGATCTCATGAAAACTTTTACAAATTTCAGGGAACTTCAGAAGCAGGCGGAACAGACATCCAAAGATAAAAGGGTATTAGTTTCATATTCTCATTTTTTTTGCCACACAATCATTCATGTTCTCCCCTGCCTGGGAATGTTTTGCTCGCGTAGTTCGCATTTAATATAGTTTCCTCACTACTGCGTGCAGCTTAGGGCTTGATCAGCGGGCGCTTGTTAACAAAATAGAGGCTTTTTCCGTATGGCCTAATCTCACCATAAAGGTGCATCTTCTTATTAATATACACGAGTTTGGCGACCTTCGGTTCTACCTATAAGGAAATAGAAAAAAAAAAAGCAGGTCTTGTGCAACACACAGCACCTTTAATATTTCTTTACTTCTAAATGTAATATTTTCCCCTACCAAGGCGGAGCTGAGAAAAGCACAAGGGCTCGCTACGGCCGCCAGGGCAGATGCACAAATGAAGACCAACATTGCTGAAGCTAAAAAGAAGTACGTCAAATCATTACCTGTAGAATGCAACAATCGAAGTAAATGTATTATATTTTCTGCAGTCAATATTTACTTCCCAAAGTAATGGAACTGGATAGAAATGAGTGCCCCCTTTGCTCCTAAGCGGCTTAAAATAGAAGAACTAAAGCAAACCTCGAAATTCTCGGAGAAACAATGGCTGAGCAAAGCTAGAGAACTTGCCTTATTGTCTGTTAAAAGCCAAATTCAAGGGGCGAATTTTAAGCCATCGTATACTTCTTGTGCACAGCAATTTGTGTTGAATAATAAGATATTTTACTACCTGATTTTGGGCTTGGTTGCGCGGTAGTAGCAGTTAAGGCGTATAGTAAAATTGATTAAAATTACTCCTATTCTGTTGTTTAGACTGTCAGTGTTGCATGACATTTTTCCTCAGATCCATGAAGGAACCTAAGACTCTTAACTTTACTTTTGGATTCAACATTGAGAATCGTCGTTATTACGGAATGTTCATTTACAACTGCAGTCGGTACGTTTTCTTTAATCTCTGCCTTGAAGTCGTTCGTGTTATTATACAAGTTGTGTTCGCTAAGAATTGCTATTAAAATGGACTGAATAATTGTGGCCTTTTCCTCCATGTTTCCTTGTGATTGATTCTTCTCAGAGACTGACTTGTGTTCATTTTATAGGTTAATAAAAATGTACGAAAAAGTTGGCCCGCAAAAGGAAGGAGGAGTGTAAGTTGTAGCTTTCTAAGTATTTTTGTTATGATAATCTCTACCTTGTGCTCATCTGATAACGATCATTGTTAACATGTACAGCCCTGTGTACATTTGCATGTCTGTCAGTCACCTCTGGTCAATAGTATCCATTGCCTTCAGCCAAAAGAAAAACTTCAATTTGCCTCTTTACATACAGAATTTTTTTTCCTTGACTTTGTTTCTCGTATTTTGTTTTGCAGAAAATGTTACGGAATCATAGGTATGATGGCCCCTTTCCATTTTATTCCACAAAAATCCCTGTCGCAATAAAACCAATCAACGAACCAAATATTATGACCTAATCTTAGCAACAGATCGAAACTGACTTACCTTAGCTGACAAACGCGATTTGAATCTTACAGCCAACAGCATCATGGCAAACCTGACAATAAGCGTCAAAAATCGAAACTTCAATAATTCGTTCTTCACGTGAATTGATCACCATTCGCATTCGTTTCCTCTCCCTCAGGTGTTGTAGATGTGCCTTATCTCGTTTTGGAGCCCACACACAATAAGCAGGATTTCGCAGACGGAAAGGTATAAGATACTTGCCCAGTGTCTTCGTGAATAGAACGTTACCTATTCCAGTTGAAAACTGTCTTTCGCGCCTTCTTTCAGCCATCGGAATACGTCATGCTGCTCATTATCCATATACGAGTAGTGTATTTTCATGGTTAAATGCGGCCAGAGAGAAAGACTTCAGGTGTATTGAAACACAAGAAACGTTTTAAACCGAAATCACCTTCTACCGGAGTGATTAAACATGCCGTCATTCGAAACTTCTTTATCCGCTGAATTTTTCTGAAAGAAACGTGCAACTCCCACCTGGGTGATTCTCCCTCAATTTTCCCTTCCTCTTCTTTCCATTTACAGGAATTTAAACAATTACAAAGAGCGTTGGGTGAGCACTTAGAACAATATTGGAAAGACTCGAAAATCGAAAGTAAGTGTTTGCTTGGTCAATTCGTTCTTTCACTGACCTTTGTGGTACTTCTCCTCTAAAAAATCTCGGTATTAGTTGAAAGGTCTCACGTTCAAACTTGTTGGTGTGGTCAGTTGCCCACTCAATCTGCTTTTACCATTTCACGCCCGAGATCTGAAAGCAATCTGTCCTAACCCTATGGCTGTGCATTTCTCCATTGCATGGTGGTGAGAACCTGTTGTTATATTCTAGCAACTTATTTGCTTAATCCTTGTTACTTCTCCACACGATACTATTTTAAAATTGAACAGTGAACCTATTCATCTCCTACAGGGATTAAAGGGTTAATATGTTGCTAAATGTCTCATACGTTATTTGTACTGATATAGTGCCGTGTTTTCTGTACAGGTCAGGGTGTAACGAAGTTCTGGTAAGTTTTTGGAAAGGCTATCGTTTTGTTGTTGGTTTGTTTGTTGGTTGGTTTTTTTTTGCGATGCTTGTTGCTCAAGTGTATGGATCTTAACTGGGTCTAAATCGACTGTTTTCCTACGCTTATTTTATCCCAGGGAGGATTTCGGCTATGTAGGCAAATGGGCAGACGGCCCCTCTATGGATCAGAAGTTTGCGAGAAAAAGGGCGATGCAGATACCATTAAATGTACAGTGCGGTACGTTGATAACGTCACTAATAGTTTGTAAATGAACGCGAACACTTAGGCATCGTCAACCGACTTACTTTAACCCGTCCCTGATATTCCTACTGATACGAAACATCACCCCAGTTGTGGACTTGCAGCTAATATGTGATGCTAAGTTAAAGAAATTTAACATGTGGTCCAAAATACAGCGACTCTGTAGGAAGTCTAATCTCCTTAGGGCAAGGGGAGGTCACTCAACAATTTCTCTATGTGGATACCTCTCCCTGAGATTCAAACCCTTCATCTATAATGTGCATCTCTGAAAATGGCGTCTTTTGCTCACTTGACATAGATCATGTAAATGTTGGCACATCAGCAATGTGTTAGATTTCCTTTTTTTAAAAAATAGTTTGTCTGTTAACCTTATTATACATAAGTTATGGTATGGCTTGATTATATCGTTTTCGTGCGTCTTTAGACATATGCCTTAAATGGCGAAAACTGCCGTTTGCTCAGAAAAATGTCGGTCGTCAATTACCAGACGAATGGTGTTGTGCCATGCACCCCGAATCAGATTTTAACAGGTTTGTTCTCCTTGGATTTGTATAACCAGATATAGATGAAAAGTTAGTAAGAATTTTATAAGTCCGCCTTCTACAATCCGTAATATTTTTTGGGTGTAGTGGAACTCCGGTTGTCTCTGTCCATGTTAATCAAGCATCATAAGCATCGTAAGCATCGTTTTGTTGTTTCCCCTTACTTTATGAAGATTTCGGTATCGCAAAACGACCTCAGATGTAATGTTAGAATTTCAGTTCACTAAAGTAATAGCTTGTGGTAGGGCATTGCGTTACCCTTTGACTCACAGGATCTTCTTGATACAGCAATAAATTGTTAGTACTTTTACACTTTGGAATTTTTAACTCAGTCACTGAAATCAGCTTTCAAATCTTGGAAATGAAAAGATTGAACTGTGTTTCTCTTACAGCTGTGACCGTCCTGAGCAGGTCATTCCAATTAAGAAAGGAACTTTACAGAAACAAACTAAATCGGCCGAAGAGAAAGCGAAAGAACTACAAGACGAAATCCGGAAAAAGAGAGAAAAACTCTCGCAAGTGGAGGTATAGTTACGCAATCGTGATCAATAGCTCTGTTTATGGCAAACATGGAAAAAACGTTCGTTCGAAAGCGAGGCCGTTTGGATGGCTAATTTTGGCGAAGGACAGGAAGATAATTAAAAATGTCATATGGTTATATTGGTCGAAAGCCGTACGAAATGGAAATTAGAAGTGAGATCATTAGTTCAAGGGAAAGACAGTGGGGTTTGGAGATTAGTAGAGACTACGGTACAAAGATATAGTCAGAGGGGTTGGAGGGTGGACAGTAGGGACCAGAGGTAGATACTGGTATAGGGAAATATTTCGGTGTTGATGGTTTGAGCAGTAAGTCAATAGCTCCGATTTAACGAAGCTGTTATAAGCTTGGTGACGACAAAGTGTAGTTATCCGTCATGCATTCAGTCACGTTACAGTTTTGTATTCAGTAGTACACTGTTCATTGTTATCTTCGCAGCGTCAACGACCACAAGTCGCACAGGCCACGACACAGAGAAGGGTATGCTATTTCTCATATTAAAGTAGTTAAATAAGTGGGAACTTACAGAGGAAAGAGGTCTGTCAACAGTGTTATGAGCTTCCACTGTTGCAGCTGTCTACTTCGGTTACAGGGTTTTCTCATGGCTGCTAAAAGTACATGGATGATATAAAACAAAGGGGTAGAAATGTTCTGTGATATCAATGAATTTTGTCTGACAGTAGGATCTCCTCTGTTTTATTAAGGTCGAGAGAGTATCTTCGGCGGAGAGTACCTCCTCATCTACAGGCGACACTACAGAGGTGAGGGAAAAAAGCTTTTTTTCTAAGACAAATTTGCTGAATAATGTAAGCCCTTCCCTCGCTGAGCCGCACACTCGCACACCACCTACCAAGGTCAGGTAAAGGAACATAGTTAGGTTTATCTCATCATGAGGTCTTTTCTCATCTGATGGATATGGTGACCCAGTCTGATTATCTGGCTGGAATGAAGATCGAGAAGGCCTGTTCGAGCCTAAGTCAGGGTCATGGTGATGTACTGTAGCGCAAGCTGTCCTTGACAAGAGAAACACTTTCTTATATTTTAAACGAACACCTTTTGATTTTCTTGTATACATTCAGAGACGAGTACAGAGGAGGCCAGTCGCGGACAGTACAGAAGTTAAGAGAACAAAGTCTACGAACGAGGTAAACGAGCGTTGCTAATATTGGGAGAATTACATCTGCTATTGCAATTGATTTCTGGGTCTTATTTTTGCTGGTTGAAGAAGAGGCTTCATGGACTTTAGAAATGTTGCTGACATGCGTCGTGTCTTACAGTAATGTATCCAAAAATATATAAATTTATTATCTGTATCCGTTAAGTAGATGGTGATATTAAAGTGCGAGGTAATTCCCGAAGGTAATGTTCTTATTCTCCGTGAGGAACTGCTTGATGTCACCAAATAGTTAATAGTTTACAGACAGATGAAGACGAAATGTTTCCACCTGAAACGGTGAACATTACTCCCACTCGAGACTAAGCAAGGGCTTCCCTACTTCTAAATCGAAAGTTAAGGAGATAAAATTATGAATTACACTGATTAGAGATAATACCCTTACTACTGTCGGATGATAGGATGTTACTGCAATTCATTTGTAGATGAAATGCAATATTGACGGCGTCCATTTTTTTCTTTCTTAGCCATTAAAACGGCGAAATACAACATCTCCGATTACAATTGAGGTTAGTGTACTTTCTGTGATTTAAAACGCGTAATAAATAGCTTTTTTGTTAATGAAATAACTGTTTCTTTCAGGCCAAACGGAAAAAGAATGAACCACAAGCAACGAAGGTATGAATTTCAAATCAATTTGTGATTTTACTTGAAGTTATTCCACAGATACTGTGGAAGTTGATTGGTAAAATTTCCAACCAAAACTTTCCACGGTAAATTGATTTTGCATTTGGTTTTTATGGTAGGCGAATTGTTAAACATTTACTTTCCTAAACATGATGCCAGCATAACATACTCGTTCTAATTGTAATAACAGACCGTGGTCAGAAAGGAACCTCAGGAACAAAGAGAACAGCAAATAAAGAGACGAGAGGAACTTAAGAAAGAGGAGCAACGGAAAAAAGAAGAAGCGGAAAAACGGATAAAAGAAGAGAAGGAAAAACAAAAGAAAATAGAAATGGAAAAGCAACGACAACGACAACGAGAAGAAAAAGAGCGACAACGGAAACAGGAAGAACTCGAGGAAGAAAATAAAAAAGAAAGAGAAAAAGAACAGGAACAACAACGAAAGAAAGACGAAAAAGAACAGGAACAACTTGAGATGGAGCAACTCATGGAATGGAGTAGCGAGGGAGAAACTGATGCAACGACACGTAAGACAGTATTGTTTTTTAATAATTCAGTCTGTTTAGTCTGAGTTAATTGACTTGAGTCTCGTACGCGCTCAATCTCCTTCTCGTTCAATGAGTGCAATAGGATCTAATAACATATGGCAAATGATGGGCAAATCCAAATATTGGAACAATACGGGGAACTACGTCGGACGGATAATGAATAAATACGGGTAGTGGTCTCTAGAACTGGGCCTTGCCTTAACATCCTTCTTAAGGAATGATTTCTAAGGCAAAAATTGAGTTGAGCACTTTGTTTTAATTACAGTTTATCTCGATGAAATGTGATTCGAGAGAATAAAGTTAAAGAGCATTCGAATTTGAGGGAATTAACTCGGTGAAGTGACAAATAGCGTGGTATTAGGGGAAAAGCTTGTAAACTTTAGTGAAAACCGTTATTAAAGTTTCTTTTCTCTCTCTTTAGTCTCAAAGGGAACCAAAGTAGAAGCGCGGGTTGATAACTCAAACTGGTAAGTTACCTTTCGGCCTGTATGGAAACATTTGCTTATGTAGGAAGAGTAATTCTGTAAAATCGGGCGCCAACTTAACAGCCCTTGCCTCATTAGGGTACTTTCTTGCCTTTGCACTTTCTTCATATGTTCTGTGCACTAAGGCTTGTGTCTTTCACTGAGAGAGCTTCTCGTTGAGGGAGTTTGGCGTCTCTAATCTATTGAATTTTACCTTGTGGTGTCTAGGTACATTGGTACAGTGTTTGCTTCAAAACCGAAAAAAGGATTTGCTTGCCGAGTTCGCGTCAAATTCGACATGTACCCAAAGGACAAGTACGACAAGTGGTAAGGGGATAAGTAACTTGACGAACGGAGTTATCTTTATCCAAAAGACATCTTAAAAAGTAACTCAGGAAGGATCGAGGGATGTTGGAGTTCGTCTCACTCTATGACAATAACAGACTCCTAGATAAGCAGAACAACTCCCCGAAATAGAGACTGGAGTCGGTCCATGCATTGATCTTATAGTAATTTATTTGCTTTTATTTTCAAGGATTTTTTTTCTTTAATAAATCTTCTGTAACATTTTCTGCAGGTTTGACCATCCCAGTGAAGATTTGAGAGTTCTAAAAGTGAGTTTGTCGTTGTTAAAGGTAGAACTACTTAGTATGTCTCGCACGTGGCCAAGTATTCTTGCAGTTTTGCTATAATCTAACATACTTCCTCACCTTTGATAAGACCATCTACCTCGTTGGAGTATCCTGAGTGACAGCTCAGTCACATCTCACTCCACAACCGCCAATATTTAATCTCCGCATAATTACGACCAACAAATCATTCTTAAGCTTCCATGTAATGGTCATTCGTGCCATAAATTTACGTCGTTGTTACAGCCAAAGTTTCTTCTCGCCATGATGATATGCCATTAACAAGGATCCACTATAATGGTCGCGGCTTCAGTGATGATACAGTTTTGTCTAAGACGGCGGATGGTTTGTCGTTTATTTACATCGTTTGCGAGCCTCATGATAACGGAAACGATGACCTTTAGAAGGTTGCATAAGGTTTAACAAAATTGCTTGACGTGTAGAGTTTCAGATCGATTATAACAAGTTCACAGTCTTGGCCGAAATTTTTAGCTTTTCTCGTCGCGTATTCATTGGTAGTTTAATGATATTAGAGAGGAAGGTACATACCCAATAGAGGTTAAAGGCGTATTAACGTAGTTGCCAGGAGGCCGAGTGTGTGAACACTATTCCTCTCTGTTTTAAGCCTGTGGAAGAATCAGCTCCCAAGTCTCCAAGCCCAAGTAGAGAAGTGTCAAGCTCGACAATTGAAGCGCCAAGCAGTCGGCAGGAGCAGGATCAGAAAACACAGCCGCCAGCTCGACAAGTGAAGGAGCCTGTACAGTCCCCAGAGGACAACCGTGTGTCGTCAATGTCGGATGACACCCTTACGGCAGACCAGGAGCACCCTGCATTAAAAGACGTCGTTGGGTTGTTTAGGTTTGACTGTCATTGTTTTCGAAATTCTTTTTGATTTAGTTTTGGCAATGTCTGCTTATCTTGTAGACACAACTCCCATTACAAGATGCTGTCTTAAGTATATTCCGGCAAATTGTAACCTTCAATAGATACTGCTTTCTTATATGCCTCGGTAGACGAAGGGTGAAATCAGTACGAACCAAATCATTAACTTGTATCACTCTTCTTCACAAGTAATTAAACCAAATCCATTTTAAGCGACTCAAAAACATCTCGTAATATCTTCAGTAATTCCCTATAGAATGCCTGTTTTAATAAGAGTATGTTTTAAATGAGTTCTCTTTTATTTAGACGCTGTCTTTGCTATTTTGCTCCTCCGTCGTTTAAAATTTCAAAGGAGGACATTAAAGAGATGGGCACTGAGGAGCTGAGAGAATTTCCACTGGTATGAGTTAATCATATCCAGGCTTACTCCAGTTACTTTTGTTTTTGATTTTTTTAACCTGCTCTCGGTACTTTTATCATTAGCAGTTTTTGAAGTTATTATTACGTTTTTTTTTTCAGGACAGCTTTATTGATGATTACGAAAAAGGAATTTCGGAGGTAAATGAATTTTTTCCGTTCCTTTTGTCTTTCAGTCCGTTAGTTTTCGTATTTTTTTGTTATTTATTTTTCTTTTAATCGAACGAGTCAATTCATCAAGCTAATAATTTAATTACTTTATTGTGCTATTTTAGTTGATTGATGGTTTCCGGAAAAAAGGGGAAGAAGCCGATCAAAGAGCTACAAATGCTGAGCAGCGTTTGGCGGAAGCAAACAGCGAAAAAGAGAGATCAACGACCAAATTAATAAATCTGCGAAAAAATGCAGGAAAACTGCTTCGCTTTATACAAGAGGTGTGTTGACACCTTGGATTTCTCGGAGCAATCGTCCCTTTTCGTGAATGTTTTTGATGATGCAGTCGTCCATTCCACTTTTGCGGCCGGCCACTTGTTTTTTTATGTTTTTCTTGTATTGTTGTGTTTTTACGTTACTTAAGAGGTTTTTGTTGCCTTTTTCCCCGAAAATCCTAGCTTTTTGACGTCATTTTGTCGATGCTGGTTTCGTTTTCAGAGCCGCCTTAGATAACAGCGAATCGTCGAAATCGAAGTGCGTTGTGTAGAATAATTCCGCGACAAAGTCGAGTATTATCAAAGTGCGACTGCATTGTTTTTCATTTTCGTTCCTTCCTTACAGGAATAATGAAATTGCACATGGGCTATGTTTACTTTTAGTGCTTTCGTTTCATGATCCCCTTGGGCTAGGTGATAATGTCAAACAAAGCACGTGCATGTGATCTTCGTACTAATGAAGTAATTATACTAGCCTTTAAGCTCTTGTTTTGCCGTGTTCCCACTCTAGGATCCCAATGACTGCGCAATAAGTGAGGATGATGTTTCAGACAAAGTGGATGAAATGATGGAGAACATAGCACAGCAGGCGGAGGACCGATGACGGATGCTTTTTTTTTTTTTTTTCTTCCAGTTCGCTGATTCTTTACGTGCCATTCGTGTTCTTTCAATTTTATAGTACACCGTTTTTACAAGCTGTGCGATGACTCATGGTTTGTTAAGCTCAACTCTCTTCCAATTTTGGTACAAGTCAACACGCGTTGGACGATAACGCACGTTCGGCTCGCATTCAAAGATGCCTTTTCACTCGAGTTATTCCATACAACTTGAAGAAATTTCTTTAAATTGCAACTGTATACATATGCACAAATAAACGTTTTGTTTTCGTTGGAAATGTAAGAGATTTTTCTCAAACGGTCGCGAAATGTTTTTCTAAGAAGCATCGATGACTCAAGACATTTGAAAAGGAACAAGAAGGACTTCAAAGGCTGTTCGTTTTGATGGTGATCACCTGAAATTGGGAGTCAGCGATGCCTTAAGTCCCAAGTAAAATGTCACACTCATGCGCAGGAAATGTGCCTGGACAAGGAAGTCAACATTTCAGACACATAACCTCCCGAGGTTTATAATTTTTCAGTTATATGATGATATTTATTTCAGACGGACGTAGAAAGTCAGTTCAGTAACGTTTTTAACTGTAAAATATCTGTTTTTCAGAAACACAATGTAATGACTATTTTGTATTATTTTAAAAGATAAATGTGTGCATACGGTTTTTTGACTTGCTTGTTATCACACTATTCTTATGATTCCTGTGCAACGTGTGAAGGAACTTGGCGTGTTATTTCGTGGTCCTCTAGTTGATTCCTACAAGGTGAAGGAGTCGTGTTAGTTGAAATCTTAAATTCAGTGACTTAAAAACAAATATTGTTATAGTGCTTGTTGAAACCTCTGTAGGCAAGTACAGAAAACTAATGAAAACAGTATCAGGAATAACACCCTCATGACTTGTCTGTTTTCAAGTAAAAACTCGATGGTTCATATGGTGACTTACACTGTGAATCTTCCTAACCATGAAAACTACTCAAAAATTGTAAAGTGATAATTTTGGAATTAAATGGATCAGAAAACAAAAAAGTATCTCAGACCACAAATTTTGACTTGGTTCCTTTTAACTGAGCGAATATATTCGCTTTGGCAAATGTTGAACGGTGCTCATAACCCAATACACAGACGCTTTGGCAAATAAATTGATATTTTATTCAGTAGCGTGTCACTATTTTCTATCTTGCCTCAAATCTCAATTTTTCTCTTGAGAGAACGTCATTCACGTAAAGAATACATTAAAGAATTCCAGGATGTTTTAAAACGACGTAGCTGAGAGTATCAAATGATTTTTTTTACTACAACCATTTTGAAATCACTGGTGGTCCCTGTAATTGGTGCGACTTATTCACGAATCGTACCATTTTTTGCCTTAAATCGTATCTTTTTCCCAGCCAATGAGGCTACACTAAAAACAAAACAACCAATTAGATTTCAAGGCTTATTTAAAGTAACCAATCAAATTGTAGGGAAATGAAAGACAGAGTATCATGAGGCAAATTTTGCAACTTTTGTTTCCAAAAAAAAAATGGATGAATTTATTTTCAAACCAGCTCTATACTACATCAATAAAATATTTTAACTGACCAAATTCTGTACTCGGGCGATTTCAAAATGGATGTAATAAAGTGGTAATTGAACCTCGTGTCGTGTAATTTTGGTCTGAAATCATACTTGTAATTTCAAATTGAACTCGCACTGCGCTCTCGTTCGATTTTGAAATCACGCGTATGATTTCAGCCCAAATTACACCCATTTTGAAATCACTGGTGGTCTCTGTGATCTGATTGGCTCCAATTGGTGCGATTTATTCACGAATCGCACCATTTTTTGCTTTAAATCACATCTTTCTCCCGGCCAATAAGCAGGCCACACTAAAAACGAAACAACCAATCAGATTTCAAGGCTTGTTTAAAGTAACCAATCAAATCGCAGGAAAATGATAGACAAAGAGTATGGTATGGCAAATTTTGCTACTTTTGTTTCTAAAACTCTTACTTTTCCCCCCAAAAAAAGGATGAATTTAATTTCAAACCGGCTCAGTGCTGCATCAATAAAATATTTGAAGTGACCAAGTCCTGTCTTTGGGCGGTTTCAAAATGGACGTAATAAAGTGGTAATTGAACCTCGTCGTGCATTAACGGGGAGAAGGGTGAATTATTACACACCAACGAAGGAAAGAAAAACAGATGTAGTTCTGTCCCAAGTGTTAGAGGGAAGAGTTATTCAAACTTTATCCATTCTCAAAGGAAAAAATAGGGGCACTGCATATATATATATGTATATGTGTGTGTGTATAAATATATATATATATATATATACTACAAGAATATACTGCAAGAAAAGTTGTCCGTATAGCTCAGAGTGAAATACACCAGGCTACCAAAGCGGGCCCCAATCAGGGGTTCAAATCCTGGCGAGGGGAACTTGTCTTAGATTTTTTTAATTTTTTTAATCATTTCTTTTCATTTCATTTTATTCAGTGTATTTTTTGGTTTTCCTATTTTATACTTCAATGATAATAGTATTTAATGTGTTTCAATACTACTCGCTTTTTCGTAAATGAACGGAGTTTTCTGTCTCATGGATGGCAAGTTTACTTTTTCCTTTACCCTAAAAACGAGGAACTGTACCGCCACACAACTAAATTTCAACAAAGCATGTCAAAAGTAGCTTAATCATCACAAAAAAGCCTTTTCTGAGTCAAAACACCGTTATTTCAACATTTTTCTGGAGCTGGTCCATGTAGTGGATGGCTCACGTGATATTTATATAAAGCAGATTTAGTGCATCTCGCATCAAGACACGTTCCTCGCAGCTCAGTGGAGGGAGCATTGGACCGCAAAAGCGAGCCCAGTCAGGGTTCAAATCCTGGCGAGAGGAACATTTCTTCCCATTATTTTTCATCCACGTTTCCTTTTTCTTATGAACTTGTTATTTTTTCCCATTACACACTTCGATTATAAAAACCGTTAAATGTGTTTGTATCCTGCTTCCTTTTTCGTGGGTGAAAAAACGTTTCTATCCAGTTGATCACAAATTTACTTATTCCCTACACCCTTTAACTGAAGGAATGCATCTCAACTCGACTAAATTTCAACACTATGAGATATAACTGTTTGGTTATCATAAAAACATCAGATTTAATTAAGTCGAAACACTTAAGTTTCAACATGTTTCTGAAGTTAATCTCTGCATTGAGTTGTTCACATGTTCAGTATATACAAAAGGTTTATTAAAAGTCGTAAAGAGAAGTTCCCCGTAGCTCAGTAGGGAGAAAGCGGGCCAAGTCAGGGTTCAAATCCTGGCGTGTAGAAGTAATTTTCCATCTTTTAATTTGAATGATTTCTTTCTTTTCTCTTTTGTGTATTTGTTTGTTTACCCGTTTTGTACTTCTTTGATAAAACCTTATATATCTCTTTTACTTCTATAACAAAGTTAAAACAATTTTTTTCTTTGCGTCAGAAAGTTTTACGACTGGGATTCCTTTCTTCAATCAAATGGTGTTCCTTGTCATCTTTATTTAATTCAAATTTTGCTACTTCCATGGAAACCGTCGGAGTTACACGTGAAATGACTCTATTTGTGATGCGTTCCCAAAAGGCATGGCAACAAAACAGTCGTCATGATTGTGACGTATTCATCAAGGATTGGTTTGTTCTCTCATTCCATATTCATGTGTATTCAAGTTGTGAAGTTTTCTTAAACTGGAAAGGTCAAGGACTAGAGAGGACGTGTAACTGTGAGGTCTCCGTGTTTGTGCTAAGAAAATGCAGAATCTGCTTGAAAGTTGTCTGAAGGTAAGCATCACTGATAGAAAACAGTCAGAATAGTTTTATCGCTCTCTCTAGAGGGTTAATGAACTAATTTAGCTAAGAGAAAGCTTTTGGTTCGCTTCTTGCTTCGCCTTCGACTTAAATAGATGTCGCTGATCATACCTGTAGGATAGAACGAACGCTACTTAGCCGAAAATTAAGGTTACGTCAGGATTTCGAGAGAAATTACTCACAATTGGTGAAGTTTCGAGCTGTGGATTATAGAAAAAGGCGATGATCCTCGCAAGAACATGTAATGCGAATAAAAAACGAAGCCACGTGCGCTTCATCTCTTTGTTGCTGAACGCGCAAAGGAAATGCGGGTGAAACCTTTCATGTTAATGAATAACCTTGTTAAAACGAAATCCTTTTCAAGAACATGGTATTTGCGACTCAAATTCCTTTAACCCGTATTTACTGAACTCGCCTCTCCTTCTCTCATTTATTTGTAAAAGTTTCATGTCAATCAGCTTAACACTAAACATTATTTCACACATCTCTGCTTACAGGATGACTGAGAGGACGAGGATGACGGCAAAACGAAGAATTCAAGAGAACAAACTGGAATCAATGAATGCAAAAGAAACTCTGCAAAGATAAGAACTTTGAAGTTTACTATATTGTTCTAGTATGAAAATGGTGGCTGCCTAAATTTCTAGATTTGCCGTTGTGAACCTCAGCTGATTGAATCATTTTGTCAAATACGAACGGCAGTTAGAAGAGTAGAAGAAGGTGAGGAGGTGTTCTTCAAAAAAAGACTTGCTTTAGGGGATGGCAGCATTTAAGTTGGAAAATTTTAAGGTGGCACTGTAAAGCAAACGGCTTTGGAAAAGAAAAATATGGAAATTAAAACAAGCACAGACTGTCCTGTCAGTGTCATAAGATTTGAACTGAGGAAAAAATAAACGAAATAAAAAAATAAAAAAAAAAAGAAATTCATCGTTGATGCCACAACAACACTTTTGTCGGGAAACAACTCTTGTTGTTCTTCTTTTTGTCATTTTTTATTTGGAAAACTACGATGTCTTGTAGAATAATTCGTCTGCTATTTTGTCAATACAATAATCAGTGCCGCCTTAGAAGATTCGCACATTTTCTTTGAAATGGACTAAAGAACGTGGGCAACTTAAAATCTTTTGGAAAATTATTCAAATGAGTTTCGTCTGATTGGCAGGTGGACAGTACATTCACCGAAATACACAATGACGAAATGGATAAACAGTACACTTGACATTAAGTTCATAAGAAAAGATTAAGGGACCTCCTTTTACAAACTTTTATGAAACCCATAGATTAATTTGACGTATCATCCTCGAATCCGTAACCGTAACAACTTACAAATATGAAGATTTAAAAAGACGACGGTGACGCGTTTGTCAAGGTCACCATAAGCCTGAAAATTGATCCGACGTAAAACAAAATAACTTGAACGTTTCTGTTTTAAAGAAAAAAATACAAGTATGACTTTAAACGAAAACTCACTTTGACCTTCGGAAGCAACCGAAACGCGAGCCAGTTCAACTGATACGGGAAATCGAACGTAAACAATCAGATGACAAAAAACATATCGACTAACAAGCCACACTACAGCTTGACGTTTAAACCATGACACTGCCTTTTTTTTTCCATGGACTTAATTGGACAGCTACATGTCTATTAACTTTTAACAGGCCACACATGATATAAATAACGATTAACAATTATCGACATCTTGCACAAATACCTAAACACGACATGACATAACAAATGATATGAACGGAACCGCCTTAATTCACAAATGACAAATGATCAAGACGGGTGATTCTTTCAACCAATTGGTGACAATAGCTGTTCTCTGTTACGTTCGCATTGACTATAAAATTTGATTTGCTTGGGAAAAGAAAAGCCTCGAAGAAATTTTGTTTGCCTACGTTCTCTTGTCGTTGTGCAAATTTACTATATAAAACCTAAATGTCTGGTTCAGGGGATTACAAGAAATTTCTCGAAAAGGTATCACTGATAGTTATACAGACCAGTAGAATCTACCTTGTATGCAACAAGAAAAATACGTTTCATAGTCGGCGGTATTTTAAAAACCTAACAAGCACAGCAATTGAACTAGTACACCTGGTCACAAATCCAACAGTAGTTGCCTCGAGTTCAATTAAAGGAAACTTTTCAAGATCGATCTTTCAAATCACAGTTCACTCGTGCAGCAGCATCTATGAGCAAACAGAATTGTCTGACAAACTCAAGAAAAAGGAAAAAGTGAAAGTTTCGTTAAACTCTGTTTGTCTTGCACAAGTTTCTGGGAGTTGAACAAAATTTAAACACGAATCCAAGATAGGCTCTATTTAACAACGAACTTGAAACTTTTTGTTTTTCATTTCTTTTTTGAAATAGTATTTGTTCGCATAGAATGGTGTCGTTAAAAACCGTGATTCTTCGTTGTTAGAACAAATTAAACTAGAATTT